GTGTCAGGGCTAGGTAGATGGGGAGCTAGGAGGCATGCTCTTCATGCCAAAGACCTGGAGTTCATCCCCAGCACCATATAAGCTCCCGAGCACTGAGCCCAGAACAGCCGGTGACCACCCTGGATGTGGCCCCCAAAGAAAAGCAATTATAAATTTCGGATTAAGTGGGTAGGGCGTTTGCGTTGCAAGCGGCCAACATGGCCAACCCAAGTTTGATTCCTCTGCCCCTCTAGGAGAGCCTGGCAAGTTACCGAGAGTATCTTGCCCGTATGGCAAAGCCTGGCAAGCTATCCGTGACGTATTCAATATGCCAAAACACAGTAACAAGTCTCAAAATGGAGACGTTATTTGGCCCGCTCGAGCAAATCAATGAACAATGGGAGGACAGTGACAGTAACAGGACTGTTGTTAGGAATAACGTCAGAATTGGTATCCAGTGATTGTTAGCTCATTGTTAGGGAGAGGGTCAGGGTTCAGTGATGAAATTGTGTTTGTTAGGTTCAGAATGTCTTGACTTGACCAGGTTAGAATTAGGGCTCTAAATATCAAATGCTCACTCTCCTTAGTTTGCACTTCATGAATGATTTTCTAACTTCATCATTCTGTTTCTGTATTTATAATTAACTTCCCCTGTTATGGAGAAATTTCTTTTCCCCTCCTTTACTATTTATATATTTAACAGACTTGATTCTTTTATAATAAGATAGGATCCATTATTATAGAATTTTTAACCTTTAGGTTTCTGCTTCTCATCTCATAAATTCTGGGCCATAGAAAATGTATCTGTCTTTAGTTCTTGTCTTTACTTTTTGTTTTGGGATCACAGCTCCATGGGGCTTCAGTGCTCATCCTGGCTCAGTGTGTGGGGATTGTTACTGATGCAACTCATAAGACATCATGAATCCAGGGGCTAGAGCCATAGTACATCAGGTAGGGCACTCGCCTTGCACACAGCCAACCTGGGTATGATCTCCAGCATCTCATATGGTCCCTTGAGCATCGCCAGGAGTAATTTCCGAGTTCAGAACCTGGAGTAAGCCCTGAGTATCACCAGGTGTGCCCCCAAAACCAGAGGAATAAAAAAATAAGAGATCATGAATCCATCCAGAATTTGGATTTAACAGGCTTTTGTTTGTGGCTTTTTTGGTCACTCCTGGGGTGATACTCAGAGGTTACTCCTGGCTCTGCACTCAGAAATCACTCATGGCGGTGATCAGGCGGTCGGCTGCATGCAAGGCAAATGCCCTGGCTGCTGTACTATTCTCTGGACCCAGATTTAATAGGTTTGCTCGAGGCCCTCCCGTTGATCGTCGATTTGCTCGAGCGGGCCCAGTAACGTCTCCATTGGAGACTTTGTTGTTACTGTGTCTGGCATATCGAATACTCTCGGTAGCTTGCCAGGCTCTCCGAGAGGGGCGGAGGAATCGAACTCAGGTCAACCATGTTGGCCGCTTGTAAGGCGAACGCCCTACCGCTGTGCTATCGCTCCACCCATCTGTTAATAGGTTTAACAGATGAAACTGCACTATGACCAGTCATCTCTCCCTCTTTCCACATTCAGGCAGGCGTCCCTGTGTGCGTGTGCGGGAGTGAGGCAGTCTCTCCCACAGGAGGCTGAATCTCTCCCATCTCAGGCCAGCATATTCAGGAGTGTAGAGAGTTTCCCCAGTGCCAGGCCCTGGAGGCGGCAGCGGGAGATAGTGCAGGAACTCACTTGCTGGGCCATCAGCCGGTGCTCAGTTCTATGGTGGGAATCAGCCAATGAACCAAGGGAGAACCAAGGGGCCCTGGGGCTGCCGCCTGGGGGCCCTGCTATGTGTAGAAGCGAGAAAACAGCCAAAGAAACAGGAAGTGGGAGAACAGGGAGAGCCAGACCGCTGCCAAAGAACCCAGCCAAGGGAAATGCTGACTGCAGAGCACTTACATGGGAAATCCTGGCGAGCCCTGTCATTGGTTGGTGGGACAGCCCAGAGGTCTCTTTGGAGACTGTGTTTAGGGAGAGGGACAAGTTTTGGACCACACCAAGCAGTGATGGTCACACTCCCAGCTCTGCTCAGGATACCTGGTCATGTTGGGGATCACATCAAATTGCACAGCGACCGCCCCAACTCTGGATTCTCTCTCCAGCCCATTCTGCAGGGTTTTGTGCCAAAGGGTAGCAGAAATATAGGCTGAGAGCTGAAGAGTTATGTGGGACCAAGGGACAGGGCTTTCAAGATGGGAGGTGTTAGTGTCATAATGCGAAGATGAAAATGACCCAATTGGAGGAGGAGCTTGCCTTGCACACGCCTATTGGGGGTTCAGTCCCAGGTACCATATGGTCCCCCAAGCTCACTGGGAGAAACCTGGAATACAGAACCAGGAGTAGCCTCTGAGCACTGCCAGGTGTGGCCCAAATTACCTGTGGCCCCCCCTTCCCCCCCTTTTTCTTCTTTTTGGGTTACACCCAGCGATGCACAGGGACTACTCCTGGCTCATGCACTCAGGAATTACTCCTGGTGTTTCTCGGGGATCGATACAGGATGCTGGAAATCGAACCTGGGATGGCTGAGTGCAAGGCAAACGCCCTACCCGCTGTGCTATCACTCTAGCCCCCCCCCCCCCTTTTTTTTATGAAAGAAACTTTCCCAGTAGGTAGCCAGAGATGAGAGGGTAGGCAAGTAGGAGATGGATTGTTGGGGTGAAGTGCACAGATGGAGAGACTGAGGCAGGGTGAGAGCAATGTGCAGAGTCAAGACTGAGTCAAGTACAGTGGACAGAGGCAAGTAGGCCAAGCCAGCCGGTCACCAGCCCATCACTGTCCTTTCTCTGCTCTTGCTGCTTCTCTCCTTTTACTGTGATCTGTGGATTTTCATTTCCTTAAGCACAGCTTCTTTTGTCTTTTTGTGCTCTCCTTTGGGGGCCACACCTGGCAGTGCTTGGGCTGACACTTGGCTCTGTGCTCCGGGATCACTCCTGGCAGCTAACAGGTGTGTGGTGCTGGGGATTAAACCCAGCTCTCCGCTGTACTATTGCTCCAGCCCATGTGTGTCTTTGCAACCTGTCAGTGATGGGGATGGGAAGGAAGTGGTGGGGCTGTCCTTGAGTTTTAGTCCACTGTGCTATATTGCTGGAAAAGAAAACTTAACGACTGATTCTTTGTAGGCTGGAGAGAGAACACAACAGGCTGAGTATATGCTTTGTGTGCAGGCACCCCAAGTTTGGTTCCTGGAACTGCATCGTCCCCCAGCCCTCAAGCACAGGGCAGGGAGTAGCCCTTGCGCACTAGTGGGCCTTGCCCCATAGTTAAAGAAAATAGAAATTAAAAAAAAATTAAAAAAATAGACAGTACAGCAGGTAAGGCACTTGCCTTGCTGGCAGCCGACCTGAGTTCAATACGCTGGCACCCCATATGATCCCCCAAGCCTTCCAGCAGTGATTCCTGAGCACAGAGCTAGGAGCACTGCTGGATGGTGCTAAAAAAAAAAACCAAAACATCAACAAAAAGAGACTGAAAGAATTTGAGAAGGCCTGGTGTTTAGAGGACGGGAAATTAGAGCTTTTACTAGCACAGCTGGAATATCACCGTGTACAGTATATAGTAATGCTAATGAATTCAGTGTTCAGAAGACTTCTAGACATTTTGCTGTTTCAGTCCACTCAGTTAATAGTAAATTAAATGGTAGAAAAACATCTGGGTAAGCAGAATTGAAACTATGGAGAATATCTATGAAGATGGGGTAACATTAATTTTTTAAGAATACATTTGTGTATTTATGCTTAAGATGTCGCTCACAGCATCTGCCTTGCCTAGGTTCAATTCCTAGCACCTCAGAGAGTAACTGTTGTACAACAGACAAAAGAGGAAGTATAAAGTGAGATCATCTCTTTATACCTATCTCGTCCCTACTATCACTCCTTTCAAAAAGAATCCGTTAATACCATGTAATACAACTTTCCAGATTACTGTGTCTTTGGCAGGCAGGTGGGAGGGGACCATACCCAGCTGTGTTCTACATCTACCCACCCACCCCCCAGGGTGGTGCTTGGGGAAGTTACTCATGGCTATGCTGCTGGGAACTCAGGCGGAGCTGGGAATCAGCCCCAGGCTTCCTGCATCTTTCCATGTGCTCCAGCCTCATGCCTGTTGAATCAGTGTTTTCTCCCAGCTTAGGTACTTAACAGTTTTCAACCGAAAAGTAAATTAAAACAGCCTGCTGGTAACACTGATTTCTAAATTGAATCAATTTTGCAACTCGGGCTTTCTACATGCACATTATTTAAATCATGCACATTAGAACAGCCTGAAAATAGTGAGTTAAGAAAAATGGGACAGAAAACTCACCCTTATTTCATAATTCTTTTTTTTTTTTTTTGCGGGGGTGGGGGACATACCTGATGGTGTTCAGGGAAATCACATGTGGTGCCAGCGACTGAGCCATGTGCAAGATGTACTGTCGCTCCAGCCCTCATGATTGGTTGATATTGAAAAACACATGGAGCTTTAAAGACTGAGGCATAGCCACAAAACAGATATAAAATTGGAGCGCATCCCTTTCCGTTCTTTTCCTTTTTCTTTCTCCGTTCTTCCCACCCTCTATGGTGCTGGGGATTGAACTCAGGACCTTCTATGTGCAAAAAAGTTAAAATAATTATTGGGGCTAGAGAGACTGTACAGTGGGCAAGAGGTTTGCCTTCTACGCACAGACCTAGGCTTGGTCCAAGGCACACCTTGGAGTGATCTCTGAGCAGAACACCAATGGGTGTAGCCCAAAATCCAAAAGAAAAAAAAAAGAATTTGTGAGGCCTGAGAGACAGCTCACATGCTCAGAGCATGCACTGCTTGCAGGATGCCAGAGCTGGAGCCTGGGTGCGATTCCCAGCACTGTCTGATTCCTTGAATGCTGTGTAATCAAAAAACAAAACAAGTTCTAAAAGGTCTGAGTTACTTGATAAAATATGGATTTTTAAAATATGGATAAAATATGGATTGTTCAGTATCTATTGGCTTTATTTTATAGGAGAATGGGGTGCAAGAAACAGTGGATCACAATTCCCAGCAGGAGGAAGATGAGCAAATGACCTTAGCCCAGGAGAAACCACTATTACAGAAGAATGAAGGTGAAAATAAAACAACAGATAAACCTGACCGGGACACAGAAAAACCTGCTGAATCTCGAAGTGAGGTAAGCAGGTCAGCTTTTCAGCCATACAGTTTGACTTTATTGCAGATTTCAGGGTTTTGACAAGTTTTGCATATGTGTGCTCTGCAGTAAGCAGATCTCACCTATGAAAATGTTTTGTGAAGAAGCCCATACAATGAACATATATTACACACTAGGGCTCAAGTGGTAGTACAGTGGGTAGGGTGCATGCCTTGCATGTAGCTGATCTGCGCTTGATCCTCAGCATCCCATATGGTCCCCTCGGCCTGTCAGGACTAAGTCTGAGCACTGCCACGTGTGGCCCCCAGACTCAGTTTGAGGAGTTGCATGTGCCATAGTGGTAGGGGAAAACGAGACACCCACCCCAGGAATCTTCACAGCCACCCGAGGCAAGCCAGGTGGCCAGGTTGAAAGTGAGCCAGGGGAGCCTGCAGGCAGGTTGCCCTCCCCCCCACTCTTCATTCCCTTATGGGACAGACTCCAGGAGCCCTAGACTAAGGCCGCCCCAGGGGGCCTCCTTGGCTCCTTGGTGTCTGACCACATCTCTTTGGTGATTAGAGGAGATGCAGGAAATGAAGCCCAGGAGCCAAGCTGTGGGGGTGGAAATCTCTCTGCAGCCTACGCTCCCCTGCCCCCTCTCACTGGGCCATAGTAGTCATTTGCCAGTTTATAGGCACTGCACCCCAAAGTGGGGGTTGGGGGGGAGGCTGGCAGAGGTGCTTTAGGCCAGAAGTGCTTGGGTGCTGGTGCCGAGTAGCTATGTGGAGAATGGCGCTGGACCCTGAGGCTTCTACACATTAGGCCTGTGCTACTTGAGCTAGTGTCTCACCTCCCCCATACCTCAGTTTCTGCTCAGTCTTGTTGCAATCCTTGCTGACAAGCCTGGCACAAACAGTCATGATCAGCCTGGAGATTCCACAAATCTAATCATTTTGAAAGGTGTATCCTCCTGACAGGTCTTGCCCAGGTAGTTTGTGAGACTTGCTGCTTCAGCCTGGAGTGTTTGGGGAGATCCTTGCTTGTCCTCTGAGGAGGGAGAGCACCGTCTGGGCCATCAAGACTGATGGGTGAACCAGAGTACTGCTTTGTTCTCTGTGCCCACCCCTCCCCCCCCCTCCCCCCCCCCCCCCCCCCCCCCCCCCCGCCCAGCCTGTTCTGACCTGTTCTGGGCAAACGAGTTTTTCCCTGCACACCTTAGGTGAAGTCTTAGGTGAAGCAGGAGCCATGACTTCCAGATAGGAAGGATCTGCTCTCAGAGCAGCAAAGGTAATATTGCACAATTCTCCAAATTCTTAAGTGCAACTTCTCCCTTTCTCCAGCCATTTGCTGCCACTCCCAAGCTTGCTGGAATTAGAAGTGTGTGCCCAATTTCTCCCTTTTCCCTGTACATGAGTGTCCTTTGGGGCATGCTGGGGAGGGTCACGGAAGGCAATGAGCTGCCAGACTGGTTCCCATCTGACTGGCACTTCCATCTCCGCTTTCTTGGGGCATCCTACCCTGAAAGGCGCTGGCTGTCCTGAGAGCACCCCCATTTCCCTTCCTGACTGCTCCTAGTGTGTGGGTGAGTAGTTCCCACTGCAGTGCTTTACCGTGAGCTCCTTGGCATTCTCCCCCAAAGATAAGCTCCTCGAAACTCAGGCAGTTATACTCAGGCAGTTTGGGGGGGTAGGGGGACAGAGGGGATTGAGTGCTTTATTTGGAGCTGGGTAAGTGCTCAAGGCTTATTCCTCTCAAGTCTCAAGAGATCAATATGGGATGATGGGGATTGAAACAGGGTTGGCCGTATGCAACTGTTGTATTCTCTCCAGTACCCTGAAGAAACCTTTTAAATGTAGTGCCAGGAACTGCCCAGCATCCCCTTTACCTGGCCATACCCTGTATTTATTTTGAAGAAAACATTCTAACTGAGCTGAGTGCCCCAGTCTACCACTTTATTGTATAAAACTTATGCTATTAGTTCACTTTTCTTTTGGGTTTGTCTTTGGCCTTCCTCATTAGGCTTCTCAGTGAAACACTGTTTTGTTTGCGCCATTGCTGGGAATGGAACCCAGAGCTTCACACATGCAATGCAAGCACTTTACCACCGAGTTACCTTCCCCAGCCAGGAACTGTTTTCACTTAAGTTTGACTCACCTTTAGTAACCGACTGCTGCAACAGGCACTCATTTAATAGTAATGAAACATTAGATCAAACATTAGACAAAACATCCCTGATACAAAAAAATCACAGCCAGTTCAGCTCGACACATCTCTGTGACTTGCAAACTACTCACTTCATACAGGAGCTTCTGAGAAGATACCCTTCTACTAATTTCTGGGATTTTACTTTTACCATTTGTGTTGAAATAAAAAAGAAGTGAGTTGTCCATGATCATAAATCGCTGGTGTTTATTTGCGTTCTTTCAAAGTCTTTCAGTGACAAACATGCAAGGATACCTGAGACAGGTGACATCATTTGCTCAGTAACAGTCACTTCTTTGTTACTGCAGGCCTAGATGAGTTAATAATATACAATGTATGTAGAATAGCTGATCTGAAAATACTTTCTCACTGTGGACAAACTTATATTACTGTTTCATCTTTTTAAAAAAAGTGTCTCAGGGATCATTGTGTCTGAAGTATACTTTAAATACTCTGAACTGTTAAAACCACAAAGAAGTCTTGGCTGAAAAAGGATCAAGTATGATTATTAATACTGTTTTTTGGATTGACCCCAGGTGAGCTGCATGCAAGGCAAACACTCTACCCACTGTACTAACACTTCAGCCCCAAGTATGATTATTTTGTTTTGGGGTCATACCCAGCAATATTCAGGGCTCTGTGGTTAGGGATCACTCTTGGTGGGGCTCAGGGGTTCTAGCAATTAAAGCCGGGTCAGCCCCATGCAAAGCAAGTACCCTACCCACTTGTACATCTCTCCAGCCTCAAGTATGATCATCTTTTATATGAAAATTTAGGAAGAAATATGAAAGTCTGACTTGAAAAGAAAGGAAACAGACATAATTTTCCAGCCAGAAAGACAGCCCGAAGTGTTACTTTGGATGCTTTATACACCACTGCCCCATGTTCAATCCCCAGCCCTTGAGCACCGCCAGGATCAATCCCCAAGCACAGAACCAAGAGTAACACAAAAAGAAGCCCCCCAGGAGAGAGACACAGAGGGGGTGGGGGTGGGGTGAAGAGGGAGGGAGACAGGGAGATGGGGAGGGAAGGAGGAGACACCGAGATACCACTTCCTGGAAAATTTAATTGAGCTTGATTTTTTGCTTTTTGGGTCATACCAGGTGATGCACAGGGGTTACTCCTGCCTCTGCACTCAGGAGTTATTCCGGGCGGTGCTCAGGGGACCATATGGAATGCTGGGAATTGAACCCAGGTCAGCTGCGTGCAAGGCAAACGCCCTACCCGCTGTGCTATCGCTCCAGCCCCTAACTGAACTTGATTTTTATATGAAATGTTTTAGCTCAGTATTCACAGTGGGTAACTCCCATGTTAGCCCCAGGAAAGCATGTGCAGCTCCTGGAATATGCCTTAAAGAACGGCTCTTTATATGCAAGATCTGTGTACCCAAGCTGAAAAAAATTACCTTAGAAATGGATTAGTCAAGGTGTAGGAAATCAAGCGTAAAATTGTTCTCACTTTCAGTAGGGGCCACACTCTGGAGGAAAATGGAGCTCAGTGAAATCTAGAACTGATGAGACTCAGTGACCACCTTCCCATCTCTTTTATCTCCTATGTACCCAGGTGTGTCCAGGGGTACTAAAGAAAGGAAAACAGGCAAAAAAAAAATTGAATGAAATACATCTTGATTAGCAACATTTATTTAAAAAGTAGAAATCATTCTGGGGACACAGTGATAGTACAGCCAAGTATGGCGCTTGCCCTGCAAGCAGCGACCCAGGTTTGATCCTGGTCATCCCATAGGGTGCCCCAAGCACGGCGAGGAGTAACCCTGAGCAGCTGGGTGTGTCACCCCCCCCAAACCCCCAAATTCGAAGTCATGTATTTGGTTTGTGCTCTATACGGTGCCTGAGATCAAAGCAAATGCCGTGCCAGCCCTATTTTAAATAGCAGTCCAACTGGTAAAAACATCCAGCATTAGACAACAAAAGACATTTTTTCAGTAGAAGTGAAAGAAATGTTATCCGATTTAATAAACCCTGCCAAAATAGACACAGAAAGCCCTTATACAGCATGAGCCTGGAAGCATGCAAAAAGGAAACCAAGTACTTCCATACACACGAATACAAATACAGTCCAACTGGTGTGAGGCTTCAAAACAATGCCAGGGACCTGAGGGTGTAACGGGCTTCACATGTTTGAGACCCTGATGTTGATTCCTGACATCACGTTCAACACCCCAGGAAGCCCTGAAGTAGAAAAGGAGAGGTGGGAGTGATGCTACATGTACAATCCCCATAATATACAAATACCAGAAATCCAGGTAATACATAATGGGTACATTTCTGCGTATGGTGAACTCAAAAGAAACTCAATGAATAGAGAGAAAACTCAAATGAGAACTTGGAATGCTCCAAAGAGGTACTACTGGATTCCGATACTACAAAAGAAACCAGAGGCAAGAGAGATGGCTCAAAGTGGGCGGGGCACACACTTTGTGTGGTGTTGGGGTTAAAAGACAAAAAGAGAAATGGGTTGAAGATGGGAAATAAGCTCTTAAGCCCATGCTAAGGTGCTCACTGCTCTTCTGTTCAGGAAATTCCACCCCTCCTTTTAAAAACCACAATCTTTAAGTGGGGAATTCTTACTACTACTGATGGAGCCAAAAAGTTGTAAAATGCATGCCCTGTGAATGAATGCACAATCTCTGCACCATAGTTCACTGATACACACACCCTACAGAGAAAACCACACTGTGCTGCATGTATGCGCTGGGGGAATAAAAATATCAGTTATGTAACCGAGAGCAAACATACCAACATGTCAAGACAGTGTACCCAGAGAAAACATTAAAAATGATATACTTACCTAGGTATCACTTATGCAAGGAGGCAAAACTAAGAGCTAGTAGAGCCTCTGTAAAAAGAATTGTCAAAGGAATTATTTCAACAAGAAAAACTAAACCCAGAAGGCAGGAAATAATGGGTTAAGAAATTGGTAATCTAAATGCATATTGGGCCAGGGTGTGGCTCACCAGTAAAGTGGATTCCTTGCATGCATGAGATCTAGGTTTGATCTCCAGCACAGCAACAGTATTAACTAAAAATCCAAAAAAAGTCTATCACAATTTCACATAAACTTGGGGTGTCAGCATAAGGTCTAACTAAATACCAGCCCCATACTATATGGAAGATGGCTGGGGCAGGAATGGGGAGGAGCTTGGAGCTGAAGGTTCTTGTTTAAGGATAGAGAAACATTGGAAACAAAAAAGTGAAATTTCAAAGTGGGGATAAAACTTGAGCATGGAGATCAGAGCTGGCAGGTTATCCTATCGTGATTAAGCTTAAACCCTTACATAACCACTAATTTTAAAGTGAATGCCACCTTTGGTTTTTCTACAGAGATATCCAAATGGAACAGAAACCCCTCTCTCTCTGGAAGACTTTTTCCAGTTGTTTCCATCACAGTCTGAAAATTCACTGGAGGTAATTGGGGACCTCTATTCTTATTCTTGTAGGAAAAATGACTCCCCTGATATCTTTCTCAATATGAAACCCTTTCACTTGGGCATAGCTTTTTTTTCTTCTATTAGTATGTGTCTTAATAGATGCATTGTTATAAAAGTTCGTAACAACATATTCCTCAGTATTCGGGGATAACTGACGTTAGGAAAGATTAAGCATCGCATTAGGTACTATGACTGCTGCTCAAGCAGGGTTAAATGTATCTCAAGTGCTTTTCCCTCCCTTCCCTTTTCAGGGCATCTCACCAGGAGATATTCCTCCTCTTGGAAGTATGAATGATGGCATGAATTTTTCAGCACATAATATCAATTTTAGCCAGGCTCTAAGTCAAGACGTGAGTCTCCATGAAGCTATGCTGCGCTGTCCAACAGACGGTACATTTAGAAGTGACGCGGCAGCAAGAATTTCACAGCCGCAAGAACCATTTCTACAGTTAAATTGTCAAACTACCAATCCTGAACAGGCTTTTCCTGCAACTAACTGGACAGGGCTTTTTCCCTATGATGAAAATCAAATGCGGAACCTACCGAGTCAAGACCTTCATTGTGACCTGGATACAAACATATTTGATGAGATAAATTTAATGTCCTTGGCTACAGAAGAAGGTTTTGATCTAATGGAAGCTTCTAAGCTTTTTGAAGAACCAGATTCTGATTCTGGACTTTCCTTAAATTCAAGTCACAACAGCACCTCTGTCATCAAATCTAATTCCTCACACTCTACCTATGAAGGAGCTATAGGCTATAGCAGTGACTTTGAATCTGTTTATCATCATGACTTAGAAGTAGAAGGGGCTGTGGGAGGTTACTACCCAGAGCCAAGTAAGCTCCAGAGTAACTCTTGTCCTAATGGGGACCTTGCATTTCAACATGTATTTCACAACCACACCTATCACTTAGAGTCAAATGCATTAGAATCCACTTCTGAATCCTTTTCATGGCCTGGCAAGACACAGAGAATAAGGAGTAAATACCTCAATGACACAGATAGAAACTTAAGCCGTGACGAACGGCGTGCTAAAGCTCTGCATATCCCCTTCTCTGTGGAGGAAATTGTCCGTATGCCTGTTGATTCTTTCAACAGCATGCTGAGCAGGTACTATCTGACAGATTTGCAGGTGTCACTCATCCGCGACATAAGGAGGAGGGGGAAAAACAAAGTTGCTGCTCAGAACTGTCGTAAGCGCAAATTGGACATAATTTTGAATCTAGAAGATGATGTATGTAGCTTAGAAGCAAAGAAGGAAACCCTTAAAAGAGAGCGAGCCCAGTATAACAAAGCGATTAACGTAATGAAACAGAAACTGCATGACCTTTATCACGATGTTTTTAGTAGGCTAAGAGATGAAGAAGGCCGGCCAGTCAATCCAAACCAGTATGCTCTTCAGTGTAGCCATGATGGAAGTGTTTTGATTGTACCCAAGGAACTGATGACCTCAGGCCACAAAAAGGAGAACCAAAAGGGAAAGAGAAAAAAATGACAAGAAATTTAAAGTTGGATCCCACTAAAATACATAATATTGTGACTTTCAGAAACTGATTAGAAACCACTGGGTTTCAAAATCAACTTGCAGAGTATTACCTAATTAAGGAGTAGTACTTGAATTGCTCCGTAAGGCTCATTTCGAAGCTTATCTGGACAAGTTTGAAAGCTGATACCAGAGGTGAAATTTGATAGAAGCTACTTTTCATGAAGCCTAATAAATGTCTTACAGTCAAGTTTCAAAAACACGTAGCCAGTTATTAGGAACAAGGTTACTTCAAAAGCAAATAGTCTTCTGAAATGTTTGACTTGAAATGCAAAGTAGACTTTTAAAGGTTGATTAACTTCTAAGCACTGAAATCTTAGCTTTTCGAAAGTGGAAATTTTCATGTTTTTAACACAGCTTTCTTGTTTTTATTTAGAATTTATGGACTCTTATTCCCTCACTTTAAGTCACCTTGGATCCCCCCCAACTACCTATTATTTTCCAAATTCAATATTCCAAATTTGCAGTAAACTTGAAGCTAATAACTGCTTAACTGATAGGGAATCATTACATACTATATGAAATTTGAAACAGCCAATTCCTAAAGCAGTGTGCCAAAAGTTTCCTGGTGCTTGTGACTGAACCTGGCACTTCCTACATGTTAGGCAAGTAAATGCTGTACTGCAGTACTACCTAGCAAAAGTTGAGCTTTAAAATATTTAGGACCATTTGACTATAGTCAAAATAGGACAGCCTGTGGACAAGGCAAAACACTGACCTCGTACTGAAAATATTTAATCTCACAAACCAACAGGTTCATATAATCGCAACTACAGCAAGGTAACTGGGACTACCAGTGATTGTTTTGAGAGGTAATTACTGATTCCAGAAATAACAGGACTACTATATTGTTTAGAAATGTGGTTTTTATAAATGTTCTTAACTTGGCTGGCATTTCCCCCCAAAATTTTACCCCAAAAAATGCCCATACTTTGCAGGTATTTAAGGATCACAACTATGGGTCCTTGCCTCCCGAAGATCTGTCCAGCTTTTTGGGCCATACCTAGCTGTGTCTGAGTACTTAACTCGTAAGGTCAGATCACACCTAGCAGGCTTGGGGAACCATTTGGGGTGCCAAGGACTAATCCTGGATTAGCTGCACGCAAGGCTAATTGCCTCCTACCCACTGGAATATTGCTCTAGCTCGGTTTTTGCTTTTTTTGGGTTATATCTGACAATGCTCGAGGGTTCCTGATAGTGTTTGGAAGACCATGCGGGATGCCCAGGAACAAGCTCGCGTCAGCTTCCTGCAAAGAGGATACCCTATCCTGCTGTACTATTGTGCTGTTCACCTGTTTTTAAAACTGCATGAATGCACCAAGTTTGTATTCATCATTAGCAAGTCCAGATGAACAATGGTTTGAGTGCAAGTAGGAGGCTGAGAATTCCAACAGTGCTAGGAAAGGCAGGGAGGAACCCATCTACACCAAAAGATCACAAATGTGGTAGCAGGAATGAGCAATTGGTGAGGGTTAGGAGTGGAAATAGGGCAATCCCTTTGAAGTTTCAGGATTCCTCCCCTGACAACCACTAATCATACTGCATCTAAGACATCTAGATGCATTTTTTATGGTCTTAATGGTATTTTATAATAAAAGAAACTACTTTGGTTTACAAATTTATCAGTTTTGTTGCTTTCATAATATATGCCAATCCCTTACACAATTCTGCTCAGAGGACGAATTCATTGAGTTGAGGGGGAGGGTTGGTCTGCCCCATATATTGTAAATGTATTCCCAAATACTTGGTACACATGGCTTGACAACCGCAAGACCTCAGAGTTTAGCAATCTGAAATTTCTTTACATTACTCTTTGAAAAATACACTATGGTGCATGAATTTTTACAAGGCTGTTTTTAGCATGAAGTATTTTGAACTGGGCCAGAAATGGTTTCCCTGTATTTTGTTTTGCAGTAATATCTGCAGTGTTTAAGGCTATAGTTATCAAGTCATTTTCTATTGGCAGCCATCTACATCAGTCTTGAACACCTTCTTGTATAGTCATTTCAGTGTTAGCGTACAGCGGACAATATATATTTGATGGTGTTCAGGACTGGTGTACATGGCTACCAACAAAGACACTGAGGTTTCCCCTCCTCTAGTTCAGCACTAAGCCACTTTAGTTCCAAGCCTGGACAATTATGTACAGGAAAATCAGCAACATGTTACTTTTGCAAGGCACATATACCCACGATCTTTTACCAAAATGTCAGAATAACTTGACCAACTAGATACTAGATACCTCCCATCTCTTCAGAATCAACCCACCTTGCACTTTATGATGGAGAATTGTGTTCCACCTTCAACTCTTTTTTCAAGATTCATCTCTTAAGTAGCCAATAATACTTACCTTGTTCCTAAGTTTATTTTAGCCTGTTCTCAATTTATCCCCAATTGTGTATGTTAAACGTGCATTTGTGCTCTTGTAAGTTACCTTTTTCAAAGCCCCACCCAATTCCTTGCAGCTAGATACTTTAGTCCTTCAAGTTCACCTTTCCCAGTAATTTAAAAAACAAGTATTAACCCTACAAGTTAACAGATGCACCTAAACCAAAGTTAATCTTTTCATTAGCTTGACTTACCTGTGAGAAGCCAAGTCAAACCTCATCATTAATTTTATAGAAATGTCAAAAGTAGAAGAGTAACTTCTAACACTATGATGTAATGGAGCTCAATTGGCATTTAAAAAAAAACGGTCTATTGACAGATTTTCCTCGGTGCTTTGCAACTGAATTAATCTGGACCAAATTGCAACTGATAAAATCCCATGATCTTAAAACACCAACACCACTAGCCCTATTAACAAGGAAAAGCCAGAAATTATAGTAGTATTCACACGCTGAATATACATGTATAAAGAATGGCATTTTATTAGGGACAGCCAATAACGTCCAATGCTTTTTACTCATTTATCTATTAATACCAAAAAAAAAAAAGGCAATATGCATAGTTTTGTTAAACTGCTTTCAAAATCTAGGGGATTGCAATCCTTCAGACAACTGTTTATATAACAAGATTCACATTTTATGTGTAAACATTACACAAAGTATTTGGATACAAAATTATTTATTTTATAAACTTTGTATTTAAAATAGAATTTATCTACTCACAAACCTAAAAACATGACATATACTGAGCTTCTAGCTGATCTGATGTTAGTCTTACACTTAATTTGTAATTGTTTTATATTAAAAACCTGTACTAAATGAAGTTTTTAAAACCAGAAACATTTCCCTTTAATCTTAAAAGTGCTTTTAAAAAGGAAGGCACCAACAAGAACTACTTTCAGATGGTATAGAATTTCTTATTTCTTGAAGATTCTGTGGTTGACAACTTCTTCATTAGTTACCTGCAGCAAGACACCTTCCTGCCAAAGGAAAAAAAAAGTATCTGAAGAAGTTTATCACGTTTGTCTGAAGAACTTAAATAAACTTCAGTTGTAGTCTTAAGATAAAAGACTTACTGGTGCATACACAGTAGAATATGCACAATCACATTAATGAAAAGGCAATAAAGCCAGGAAACCAAATCGATGGCACTTAACAAAATTCAGGAGCCAACCTATCTCTGACTGGGTAGGGGAGTCTGGGAGTCACATTTAAACCCAAATCTTTAGTCAGAAAACAAGATTCTACCATTTTGTCCTACCTTCTCCTTAGCCTGATCAACCATTATCAAAAGAACAAAATGTACTTTTAATAAAATACCTATTTTTGTTCAGAATGTCTGATCCAAGAAAAGTGAATACAACAGGGTTGGGTGTAATGATGGGAAATTTCATGATTTATTGAATTGCAGCCTAACTTTTACCTACCATTTTGCTACCAACACCACTGAAGGAACCAAGAAAAGCTTTATTAATGATCACTTGGCTTGCCTCAGCTGTTGAAATGAAGCACTTGTTACAGTCTTTGTGGCAGCAGAATATACTTGTCCATGGTTCATAGCAATGCTAAATTCCAGCAGGGAAAAAAATGATATGTTAAGCACCTAAATCTTCACAGAGGGGAAGGGGAAATGGGAAAGAAGGAAAAAAAGGGAAAAACCAAAATGATTTAAATGACAGATTGGAAAACAGGGTTTATGAAATTATTCTCTTGAGTTTATAATTGTTAAACTCAATTTACAGCTATGTTAAACTACTAAGAACCACTAAACTGGAAGACCATGGAGAGTATTAGTTCATCTTTTGGGGAGGAAAATTAAGAAAGGAAAAGTAAATGAGATCTTACCTAAAGAAGTTTAACTGAAGCTTAGAACTATTTTGCTCTACACCCTCAGCTTTCGTTGGCATCCTTATAAACTACTGTAGTTAAAGCTTTGTAGAAACAGCTCAGTTTCTTAAGACTGGCTGTACTTAGTAGCCGTCAAGAGTTCTCTTGTACTAGACCTGTATCCCTGAAGAGTACCTCGCTGGGGTTATTTCCTTTCCTTGCATTGAAGAAGCAGCATCTAAAAGATCTAAAAAGGTGTTTCTCCTTGCAGAGATATCCCTTTAGTTATCTAGATAATTTAATCCTGATGAATTGCAGGCAACACACTTATATCTGACCAGCATTTATCTTACACAAATATCAACAACAACTTTGCAATGGACCTTAATTATACTACCCACTCCTTAACTTATTTAAAATAAAAAGTCTATAATTACACAATTTCCTTTAGAATTATTTTATTAAATCATAAATGTACAACAGCTTCTTAACTCTACACACGCACTTAAATTTTTTAAAGGAAAAAACGTTATGTCTTATTACACCATGATCCTGGCTAATAGCTTTTCAAAACTTTGAGAAAAATCTTAAAAAAGGTTTCACATGTCACCTGAAACTTACAAATTTAACATTATCAAAGAAGGAATGCTTCTACACTCTTACAAAGACCACTAGAAAGAAACAACAATTAAAAAGCTAAGAAACTGTCTCAAAGGCATTTTTTTACAATCCTTCCTCCACCGTAAGGTAATGTTATTAAATAATCCAATCCATTCACAAAATGGCTCTCTGCATCTGCTCTGGTGTCTTCTGCCATATCACTGCATATTTATGCATGACTGAGATAAGAGTTTCCTTAACATTGTTATTTCGATAACCTGAAGCTGTTCTGTTACCTCTGGGCTCTCATCCTCTCCTATTTATACAGTGAAGCCTGTTTCAACAGAAGTAAAGAGTAAAAAAAAAATAGGTTATGATATTATCCATCTATCCAGATTTTAAGGAAAGATAACATGATCCTAAAAAGCTTTTACTCCTGGCAGCTAGATCTCCCCAAGACAATATAAATAATTATAAAACTCAAAAGCTACTTACCCATGGCAATGGGAAGAAGCTCAATATCTGCTTCTCCCTCCATAACCCCCACTTCCTCCACTGCCTCCTGGACCATAGTTTCCTGGAATGACAGAGTTAAAAAACATCAACAGATCTCATATGATTAGCTTGGTACTTTAGTTTCCTATAGTCATCACTAGGCAAGATAAACAGAACAATGAATAAACTCAGAAACAGACAAAATGTCTTACCCTTAAAAAATTCTTTTTGCTAATGCCCTCTCTTAAATGATGCTAATTTCAATTCAAACACTTTTTAAAAGAAATAACCAGTAAGTAAAAGGTATATCTAGTTCTTCTGAAGAGTAACTTTGATCTATGGTTTGACTAGAAGTTTGGAATTATCTGACTAATAATTTTCATTATACCCATCCAGCACCCTCAGTGATCTTCCTCTTAAATCTATTAATGCGGGGCAGGAAATCACTCTACAACTTAATACGTAATTTCAAAATATTCTACTTTTAACACAACCTCCGCCACTCCATTCCCTCAATTTGACTTTTAAGTATTTTCCCTGAATTTTTACTTCACTGCATAATAAATGTGCTATTCAAACCAACCATAAGCACATCATGTTCAAGTCTTAATATTTTCTTACCTCCACCATATGGTCCCCCCATATTCCTGCTACCACCAAAGTTTCCACTCTTCATTGGACCATAGTTAGAAGGTTGTTGGTTATAATTCCCAAAATCATTATAATTTCCACTTCCATAATTTCCTATAAAAACATTGGAATACTGTTTTTGTATAATGAACCTCTGAGTAAGTAACACAAAAACATTAATACAGGCTATATATTTAGGACAAAACACCCATAAAAACAAATATTCAAAGTAAATGCAAACACCTATCTACAGTGCTGTAATTTTCATAGGCAACTGACAACATTGCAACGAAAAATTCCATGATAAAAGTCATTAATTTCAAATTCCCATATAAAGGTTGCAGGTGAAGTTATTACCTCCTCCATAGTTGTCATAACCACCTCCGTAGCCCCCACCCTGGTTGCCATATCCAGGTCCTCCACCACCATATCCTCCTCTTCCTCCTCCATAACCAGGGCTACCTCCAAAATTGCCACCTATTATAAAATAAGCCTTTAAGTAATTACTTAATATTTTCAATTCCATTTGATTTCTTATCACACCCATTTCCAGCTTTCCAAACATTTTTCAAATGATACTGATACTGAAATCTAGAATAGCGTCAAGGTGCAGAATAGCATCTCCTTGGCGAGGACATACCCACCCAACCTGCACAGAGCCAAATACCTAGTTAAGTTACAGCTCTCAACACTAGAACTATTTCTATAGTAAGGTCGCTTATGAAATTACCTTGAAATGTAATTTTGTCCTAGGGTTGTGGGGGCAAGAGGTAGGCTAGTGGGAAAATGTAGAGGAGCCACATAGTCCTACTGGTCCAGAAAATTAAGTTTCTCAAGTCATGCTCCCTATGAATTACTATCTCTTAAAAATGCCCAGCACCTTCCTCTGAGTAGAAATGGGGGGGAGGACCAGAAATTAGCAAACTCCATATAACTTAAAAGCATTTAAATATTCTTTTAAGCTATACATTAGCAATTTGAGCACAACTCATCCTTCTAAAACCTACTGCTGGAATTTCAATGACAGTGACATACAACTTTCTCAAGTGTACTAGTAAATCCAGAAACGGAGTCTATTACTATCTCAGCTTTAAATCTCCCCCCTGGGGCTGGAGCAATAGCACAGCAGGTAGGGCATTTGCCTTGCACATGGCAAACCTGGGGTTCGATTCCCAGCATCCCATATGGTCCCCTGAGCACCGCCAGGGGTAATTCCTGAGCGCAGAGCCAGGAGTAACCCCCTGTGCATTGCCGGGTGTGACACAAAAAGCAAAAAATAATAAATAAATCTCTCCCCCCGCCCCTTACAATAGATGGGACTGAACCCACAGCCTCACAGATGCAAGGTTTTTTGTTGCTTTACTGCTGAGCTACATCCCAGCTGAAATGTTTCTTTCTAAAAACATTTCTCACAAACTTTCCTATATCCCTAACATGAAACACTTAATAGAGAACATAGAGAACACTCAAATTACAGTGGCTCACAAATTTATCTGGATGGACCCAGGAGTACATCTGTGCAGTTCGGAAAATTTTCGTATATTATCCTTGGGGACTCAACTAGCTTATATATAGCCTAAGAATGCACAACTTTTCTAATATGCATTATTTCATTTATTTTCCAGAAACAATCATGTCCTATTTTTTTAACAACATGATGTATATTTAAATTCTTATTTAAAATGTATCAACAATTGTGCAAACCATTATCACTTCTATTAAGGTCTTAAGTTTTCCATAACAAAGACACAAAATAAAGGCGGGTGGGGGAAGCCAAATAGAACCATTTTCACCTAAGTCCTTCAAAGAAAAGGTCAAGGTGAAGAGTACAGAAAAATTTCACAAATATATTCACCTATCCAACAAAGAAAGCTACATCTTAACAAGTCTTAGAAATCCCAAATGCTTGAATAAACTGACCTCCAGGTCCTCCTCCATACCCATTATAGCCATCCCCGAATCCACGACCACTTCCATATCCATCTGTCAAAAGAGCAAAAATAAATAAATATTGTATCCTATTCACCCCATTCCTACTTTGGGATTTGGTGGGCAAGTCCTTCCCAAATTGTGCTTAGGGATCTCCAGGTGGCACTGGCCATATGCAAGGCTTGCACCTTAACCCCTAATCTATCTCACTGGACCCCACTAATTTTTATTCGTTTCTATTCTCCACTAGTACTCCTAACATACATTAGTGTCTGTGAGACTTCAACTACCTGTTTTAGAAAGCCAGTCACTGAATTTTTTCTAAAAAGCAGATAGTACAAAGAGGACAGGGTTGTTCTGCACACAGATGGCCCAGTTTGACTCCCAGACCTAACGATCCTTGTTCAGAGCCAGGAGTAATACTGGATGGAATCAATAGTTGGTATACATACTAATCATTTTAATTATTATGGTAGTTGTATGGCTACCATATGGTTAAAATTAATATTTGCTAGGTAAACTGCTCAAAATGCTGATCATCTGAAAACTCTTGTCCCCATCCACAATAATACATGGTCTTTCAGCTTGGAATTATTTCCTCCCTCAAAGCATCAGAATGAAATCCCTGCAAATATAAAGTTACGCTGACCTCTTTTCTAAGTCAGATTTCCACCATGATATAACCTAAGTCTTAACTAATTTAAGGAATGAAAACTGCATCCTAGCTTTCAAACAGATAACCCAAACTTACCAGATCCTCCTCTGAAATTACTTCCAGGTCCTGGTCCGAAATTTCCACCACCACCACGAGAATCCCCAAAGCCAAAGTTGCCTGCAAGAATCGTTGTAGTTTGTAATATGCGCTTACACGATACTCAATATAAATAAAAAACGGGGCTGGGGAAGACAGACAAATGCAAAAATATTACCTCCTCTTCCACTTCTAGAACTTTGGACTTCCTGCATTTCTTGTCTAGACAAAGCCTTTCTTACTTCTGCATTATGACCGTTAATGGTATGGTATTTCTGTACTGAAACGGAAAGTTCGAACTATTACACAAGCATTCAATACTACATTCAAATCTACTCTGTAATTTTTTCTTTTAAAGTTGTGCTTAATGCATTAGAGCAACACCACCTCTATCTAGACACTTACATACAATCTTATCCACAGGATCATGGTCATCAAAAGTAACAAATCCAAAGCCTCTTTTCTTTCCAGACTGCCTATCCGTAATTATTTCAATAGTATCGATTTTCCCATATTCCTCAAAGTAATCTCTAAGATGATGTTCCTCGGTATCTTCTTTAATCCCACCAACGAACAGCTTCTTCACAGTAACATGAGCCCCTGGTTTTCCAGATTCCTACATTAAGCATGTGGGGGGGGGGGGATAACAAAGATGATTCAGAGCACATCTAGGTATCATCACTGCTTTCTATATCAGGCAAAACCAAGGTTATCGCTAACAGACTAACCTTTTTGATGTTAGATTTGAGGGAAGGGGCTTTGGGGCTGAGTCAGGTCACACTGAGTGGTGCACGGGGCTCAAGGGGACCATGTGACACAGGGGACCAAACCTGAGTTGGCTGCGTGCAAGTACACCCTACCAGCTGTACTCTGTCTCCAGCCCCTGAAGTTACACTTCTTACCTCTCTTGCAACAGCACGTTTTGGCTCAACCACTCTTCCATCAATTGAGTGAGGTCTTGCAGCCATGGCAGCATCAACCTCAGCCATGGATGAAAAAGTTACAAAACCAAATCCTCTTGATCTTTTGCTTGCTGGATCTCTCATAACCTTAAAACCAAGGAATAAATCTTAAGCTCATTTGATCATATTTGTTTTATGGACTAGTAACATGGAAAAACAGACACAGACTGAATTATTTTCTCCATGTTCCACCAACAATTTAAATACAAAAGGCCAATCAAGAGTTGAGGACCTCAAGTGCCTTTTTTATACAACGTACCACACAATCTGTAAGTTTGCCCCATTGCTCGTAGTAATTCCTCAAACTTTCTTCTGTTGTTTCAAAGCTCAAGCCACCAATAAAGAGTTTACGAAACTGTTCCTTTTCTCTCTGCAAAGGAAAACACCATTTCAATTTTTATTTACGTTTTCTCTTCATATGCAGGAAATAAAATTCTTAAATATGAGGTGACCTGCTGGCAGAGTACCTTTTTCCTCTCCAAAGGAACAGTTTCTAAAGTTTTCTGGGGGGGAAAAAAAAAACTTACATCAAATTTAAACCATATGTTAAACTGCATATTGCGTTACACCAAAAAATTGCCTCAGCTGAACTACAAAGTCATTAATATCTGATCTAGATTTACTTCACATTAAACAAACACAATCACTTAATGAAATACTGACAAAGGAACACATTTCAGTCTCTGAAGGATTAAAAATGACCACCAAATATGCATTCAATCTCATACCCTAAAACACAAAACCCACCCACATTTTTTTAAAGCACAAAATGCATATGATTCCTTACTTAAAACCCATAGTTTATCACGCATTTAACAGGACAATTTCTGGATTGGATTTCCCCTTACTGCACCCTCTAGTGGTGATTATAATGTATCTGAATTTTTAAAAAACTGTTAAAACATTTTCATTTGCAACGTATGTACAAAAACCTGACCAAAACCTAAGTTTTTAAAAATTCAAAAGCTTTCTTTTTTAGTGGGAATGCCAATTATTTGGTATTCAGACAGCAATACAGAAACAATCTGATCACTGGGCTACCAAACAATACGGTCATAGCAGTCATCTCACCTTTTAAAATCATAAAAATGCTTAAATGACCACTGAGAATACCAGCAGTTAAATATATTACAATCATTCACTTCACTGATAGGCTGAAAGCTGAAATGTACTCAACTGAAAAGGCCTTCTGGTAAATTACAATGTCCTTTATTTTACAAGTCAAAAAGGAGGGGGAAATCACCCCTGGGCTTAGACCTTTTAATGTCTATAAAAACAGACAAGTGAAACGTAGCATCACCAAAAGCCCTTTATTTGGGGCATCAATTACAGAGATCATTTGGCTTTTCAGTTAAAAGTTTCAGCAAAACATTAAGTCACATGTTCAGGACTAAGTCCATTAATACAGAGTAAAATGTCAACTGTAAATTTCCATACAATAGGAAAATAGTTTGTCCCTGCAAACTGAATTACAGTTCAACACCCACAGCTCCATGGAAATTTTCCCTGCATGCATTTCTCCCATCAAACCGTGGTAAAAAAGCAATTCAGATCCCCTCCCCATAGTTAAATGCATAAAATCAAGATTCTGGAAATTTCAAGACTAACAAATCACAAAACTTCCTGGTAAGTATTTAAGTGCCAATCCGTTCAAACTACTAATTCAGCATATTGATACTTCAATTTTAAAGTGTTGCAAACTCAAATTACAAGATAAAAAAAAAACTACCAGTTTTTTACAAAATCACTACCAAAAGGCAAAAACTCATTACTTACCTCAGTTTTTCCGAACTTACCCGATGTCCACTATCGATTACAAACAAAGTTATTTTATAAGAGAACTTAGGGTCAAAGAAAACACCCGGGGAGACCCCCCACCCCTCTCTGGAGACCTAATATTTATCGATGTAAATGATCAACCATGATCACAAACACAAAATGAAAAAAAGTAAAAAGTGACAAAGTTCAAAAAAGACACAGCGGCCTAGCATGAAACGGGCTGGTATTTAGCAATACAGGCAGAAGGAAGGACTAAGGCGGGTTTCAATCGTAGTTTACAGAGCAATTAAGGCTCGAGCCATTTTCAGTCCACGGTTCCTCGTCATTGCTAGCTTATCTCCAGTTAAGGACCTGGGGGTGGAGTGGAGGGGGGGGATTGACCCGGCAATGAGCAGATTTCCCAGCCCGGTGAGCTTAAACACGCACGCTACGCCCCCCCTCCCCCCGCCAGCCCGCCCCGCCGGCCGCGTCCCACGGATTAAAAAAAAAATCCTTTCACAAAGTAAACAAGAACTCTGAACTGCTACCCCCCCAACCCCCACGACTCCCGCCCACCCGTCCACAGCCCTCCTCCCGCCCGCCCGCCCGCCCGCCTCCCCCCCGGGGCTTAGGGTAAAAACTCCCTGCGACAGGCCAAGTGTCTGGGGATGCGCAGACCCACGGGGGAACCGTTACTCCCGGCAGCGAGGGCCGGGACCAGACAATGCCTCGTCGCCGTCGACTTCGTCGTCTCCCCCCCGGGGCTCGCCTGCGCCTGCACCCGCGCCCGCGCCCCCGCCCCGCGCGCCGTGCCGTCCCGCCCCCCGGGAGCCCTCGCGCCCCCTCCCGCCCGCCCGCGCGCCTTCGGAACGCAATGGCGCCATTTCAGCGCGGGCAAGGGAGGAGGGCGCCGCCGCCGCCGCGGCGGGTGCGCAGGGCCCGCGCCGGGGCCCGGCTACCCACCCCACCCCCGACCCCCGCGCGTCCGCCGCCGAGCGGCGGGAGAGGGCCCCGGGGAGGAGGGCGCGCCCGGGGAGCCCCGCGGCCGCCGGCCGGGGCGGCTGCGCGGCGAGGCAGGAGCGAGGTGAAAATGGCGGCCGCCAGCTCCGGCGCCCCGGAGGGAGGGGGGAGGGGAGCGCCGCAGCCGGGCGCCCGGGGCCGCAGCCTCGCGCCCCCCCGCACTCCCACGCGCACTCCCACCCTCACACTCGCGCGCGCGCCCGCCAAGGGCACGGCGGGGCCCGCACCGCGCCCGGGCGGCGGCCGCCATGTGCGGGCGCCCCCTCCCCCCACCCGGCCCGGGGAAATGGCGCCGGCAGGCTGAGGGTGGAGAAGGTGGCGCACAATCCGGGCCTGCGCCGACGCCCGGAGCCCGCGGCCGGGCGCTCCGGGGCCGGCCCCGCTGCAGCGCCGCGGCGCTCGCCGGGCCCAGGGCCGGCCGACGTCCACCGAGGCGGCGCCAACGGCCGCGCCATGCCCTGTGCCAAGAACTCATTGATTTCGGACCCGTTACCTCCATCGCGGACTCAGTCGCTTCAGCCCGATTTCCCGCAGCCGAGCGAGATGAGAGAGATCTCCGCGGACGGACACGAACCGGACTCGTCCTGGCGCTGGGGTGAGAACTGCCGCTGCTCGAGAAAGGACCGCCGCGAGGAGCACCTTCCACCCGGGACCCGGCGCAGCTGCTACTGCCGCTAGAGCCGCTGCCGCCGCTTTTCTAGAACCTTCCCCCCGACTAACGCGTCTTCCTCTACGTCAGGCCGTTGCGTAAACGCCCTAACCGCCGCCAATGGCGGGAACGCGCTACGCCCCTCCTTACGCCAAGGGCGTACTCCTCCGCTCCCCGGCGGCCAGGGAAGGGCCCTGACGTCACCGGCGTAAAGCGGGCTAGTGAATTGCGGAAGGCGCGAGGCCCGCGTAGAGCTCTCTCTGCGAATTGGGGCCGGCCCCCGCCTTAGCGCCGGGCAGGTGAGAAACGGTCGCGCAGTTTGAAATTAACGCTGCAGGAGGAGCTTGGTCCCCAGCCTGGAGGACCGGCCCCCGCAGCCAGGGAGGTGGGCCCTGCAGCCCGCCCTCGGTCAGCCCCTCACCACACCTGCTTCCTCCGCCCGAAAACCCTTTGTGGCCTCCTCCTCCTCCCCCTCTCCCCGCCCCTGCTTGTGTGCAGGGGCCGCACTCGGCCCCTTCCGGAAACACCCGAAGCTACTCGGAGTCAACAAATGGCGCTTGGCGCTTCGGCGACCTAAGAGCGACCCACGTCTTTGGGGGCGGGAGTCCCCCCCCACCCCAGGGATTCCCAGACGGCTTGGAGGACGTGATCCGAAATGGGCGCTCGTTGGTAGCTCTCCCCCCCCCCCCGCTTCCCGAGCCGGTTTTCCTTCCTGTCCCTAGGACGCCCCCTCCAGCCCCGCCCGGCGTTTGGAGGCACCCACCCCACCCCGCAGCGAGGAAGTGGGCGGAGCCCACTTTTGGCGCCAGTCGCCGCTGCTGCGAAGCCGAAAGGGCCAACGCCAGTCCCCAGGCCGCCTCCCCGCCACCCCCTCGGCGGACCCCACCCCCACCCCGAGGCGCTCGGCGGCACACCCGCCGCGGCCCGGGGCTGCGGGCTCCTGGCTGCGGGCGCCGCGCGCGGCCCCGGGGCCCCGCCGCGCGCGCGCGCCCGCCCGCCCCGCCCCTCGCGGCCGCCCGGCGTGGGCGGCGCCTCCTCCCCCACCTCCGGCGGCGGCCCCGGCGCGCGCGGCGCCCCCATCCCCCACCCCCTCGGCTGTGGCTGGAGCGGGAGGCTAGCAGGGCCAGAGACGCCGCGGACGCGGGACCCGGAGCAGCTCGCAGGCGGTGAAGTCGGTGTCTTGGCTCGCGCGCGCTCCCCGGGCGGCGGTGCTCGGGCTCTTCCCCGGCGTCCCCCTGTTTCCCCGCTTGCCCACCCCCGGGCGGCTTTCCCGCCGACCCCCGAGGCGCGCGCGCGGCCCGGCGGCCGGGCAGCCGGGCCGGAGCCTGGAGGCGAGCGGGGCGACCCCCGGGCGGGCCGGGCGGCCGCGCGTCGAGAGTTGGAGGCGGGAGCGTTGTCGAACGCGGAGCGGCGCGGGCTCGACAGCCGCATTTTTTTTTTACCCCCTTTTTGGTTTTCTAGACAAAGCGCGTTTGGGTCTCCCCTCCCCCATTCCGGAGGGCGCGGAGGGCCGCCCCTCCTCCCGCGCCGCGCGACCCCTCGGGCTTCCCGGGCGGGCGCCGCGTTCTCCCGCCGTGGCGCGGCCCGGCGCTGCGGCGGACGCCCCGTTACGTGGCGGTCGCGGGCAGGGGCGCGCGGGCCCCGTGGCGCAGTGCCCTTGAGCCCCCGCGGCCTTTGTTTCTCCCCGCGGACGCGCTGACCACGCGGCCCACGCTCCCGGGGGGCGGACGGGCGGGCGGGATCCGGAGCGCCCGCCATCCGCGGCCCGGCCCCGCGGGCTTCCTTTTCCTGCGCGTTGAGTGTTGTGGTTGGTTTTGGGGGCTTTTTGTTTTATTTTTTTTGCACCCCCCCCCCCGAGCTGCGTGGATGGTGGGCGGGTGTCTGGGAAGAGCAAGCCGCGTTAGGATCAGATGGATGGGCCTCGGGACTGTTAGGAAGCGGTCTGGAAGGGAAAAGCAACGGTTGCTCACCGTGCTCGCCGTTGGCTCGTTTTAGCTGGTTTTCTGGACCAAGATACTTGGCCATCTTTCTAGATGCTTATATAATAAAGGCGTGCGTGAGGTTCGGACCGGGGGAGCCTTTGGGGGCCCGTTTCCCGCCCTGTAAGACGGTCTTTAGGTACCAGGGATCCCCAGGAGGGTTTTGTGCACACTCGGTTTCGAGCACCGTACGATGCTCACGTGTGTCGCTAATTGACGCTGGAGCTCAGAAATGCTTGTCAATGGATTTTTGAATCCCGAGTTTGATAACTAGGTGTTACAAAGGTGGGGGTTGGAGTTCAGATTAAGTTCAATGTTTGGCTGTCTTTGGGGGTCATGCAAACTTGTTTTTAATTGTAACTGTCATGCGTTTTTCTAGTAATAGCTCTTCAAGTCTGCAATAGAAAATGGCCTCCAATAAAACTACATTGGTAAGTTAATGAAAATTAAGCTTTTTAAGGCTCTAACTTAAAAAAAATTCTCCCCCACAAACGATAGTTTTGCATCTGTGTAGTTGAGAAGCTTACATATTTCTCAGTCCTTTTACCCGGGTAGTATTATTAATAAGGGGGAATTAGAGGCAGAAGCCAAACAATCACGCACAGTGCAAATTTTGCTGAATATTTTTATCGTGAAATGAAAAGACACTAATGTAAATACTGTAGACATAGAAGTAAAGCCCTGCTTGGGCATAATAGTCCCTAGATCTCCGTCACTGAATCCTGGAGAAATCTAGTATTTTAAGTTTCATCCAGCTTAAAAAACAGGTGCGCTGTACTTAGACTGAAGCTAAAATCCTTGGTTTTTTTTAATTACTTTGGTTGCTTTGTCCTATATTAGATTTGTTTTAAAGTGTCAAAGGGCCTTCAAATTATTGGTGTTTGAATACTTGTTTTTTTGTGGTGCCAGGGATCAACAGAGAGCCTCAAACATGCAAGGCAAGTGTTCTGCCACAGCTCCATCCTCTACACAGCAGTATTTGGCATTTTTAATATACCAACCCATATATGTGTCCTGGAAGTAGAGAAGATAATCTGGACCTTTTGAGCAATTAAATTTTCGCTGTTGTGGTTTCTTGAACCCAAAGTTACTGTTTTAGTTATATTAGAAAATCCACAAATGTGTAAACACATGTATTTAACCATACCAAGATAGAAGTTTTTTTGTTTCAACACTAGCACATTCACATAAAGCAAGAAATTCTAAGATGTGGTTCCCTTAATGCATTGCATTAGTAATCATAACCTTCTAAAAATATTAACATCAGTAAAGCAAAACTTTAGTGTTTGGTCTTTACATTTTCTGCCGCTTCACACTTAACACATGCTATTAATTTTTAATTGATACTATCATTAGCATATATCACATTTCCTAGATAACACTAAAATATAAAGTCTGCTCAGTCTTTGTGTCATGAATGATTGTCACCAGTGACTTCCATCTAAAGCCATCTGTGGAAGAAGCACGAAACTGCTCCTCCTCCCCACTGAACCATCAGCCAGAAATTTTAATAATTTATGAATAAAAAGTGTTAATTGATCTGAATTTATTGTCACCTGTATTCAAACAGGGGATGGGAAAGAAATGAGGCTTTTGAGAATGAAAATAGATCCAGAGACCCTGTAGATCCTTCTATTAAAATTAAATTGTTTTCATACACAGTGGGATAGTATCTACATTTTGTATTAAAGGTTTGTTCTTTTTAAGTGATCGCAAATTCACATTTTAAAATCTAATTTCAGTTGGGGGCTGGAGAAATAGCACAGCGGGTAGGGCGTCTGCTTTGCATGCGGCCAACCCTGGTTTGATTCCCAGCATCCCATATGGTCCCCTGAGCACCGCCAGGGATAATTCCTCAGTGCAGAGCCAGGAGTAACCCCTGTGCATCGCCAGGTGTGACCCAAAAAGCAAAAAAATAAATAAAAAATAAAATCTATTTTCAGTTGTAATATAAGTGACAAAAGATGTACCTTGTGAGTTAAAGGGGAAACTGGAGGGTTCCTTTAAGTAATAGGAAATGTGTTAACTTGTCAGTCATAATAAACAGGGCATGTTGCTATATTTTTTCTTCTTGATATTTATCCTTTCCTCTTTCTGTGTTTCCTTTTTGTGACTACTTATAGTAGCCCTTTTGTTCTTAAGAACTATGATAAGTTTTTGTGTGCTTAAATTTTTCTTGTTCCTCCCACTGCCTTTCTCATCTTGGACAGAAGCAAGAAACTATTAAGCTTTTATACCCATTGACTGTTACACCTTGGACGTGGTTGCTGCATTTTTTAAATCCCAAAGGATTTTCATGTCTTATTTAATGTACACTTCTAAATATTCTTAGCAATCTTGAAACATTGTTTTTTTTTTTTTCCTGCTTGCCTGTTACATTGAGGGATGGCTTTAGTGAATGAGCAGTTAAAATGTCTGGTGGCATGGTTTAAGATGAAATGGGGAGTAGGGGGGACCAGCAGCTTTTGAGCCACCACCCAGTAGTGGTGCTTGGGGGCCACTCAGGATTCCACTAGTGATAAAGAGCCCTTGTTGTATCCAGAATCAACCCAGGTGTCACCCATGCAAAGCATGCATTCCAGCCTTTTTGGCCACTCTTCCAGCCCTGAGTGGAATGATTTTTAAATGAACTGTAACATTTGATATTTTCTCTTTAACTCTTCAAAAAAAATCAGTATTTTTGTTTTTGTTTTAACAACTATTTTTAGGATCACACCTGGCAGTGCTTAGTTAGGGTTTACTCCTGGCTTTGCACCCAGGAATTATTCCTGGAAATGTTTGGGGTACCATATGGGGTGCCAGGGATCGATCCCTGGGTCAGCAAGTCAAATGCCCATCCACTGGACTATCACTCTGGCCCCTAAAAACCCATTTTGAATCCTTGTCACAGTCTAGGTTTGTTCAAAATAGTGAATTAAGTTTGGCTTCATTACTCTCAAACTTTTTTTTTTAACTTAAGACTTGGCTTAAAGTGAATTTTGTTAAAAATTTTTCCCCCTTTTAAAAAAAAAATTTCCCCCTTGAGGTTGCTCGGAGAGGTAGTATTAAAGGCCATTTGCCTTCTATCTGACAGACCCAAGTTTGATCCCTGACACCACCTGTATTCCCCTGAGCACAGCGAGGAGTCCAGAGTACTACCACGTATGGCCCAAAACTGGAAAAAAAAAAAAAAAGTTACCTTGGGGCCTGGGTACAGAACCAGGAGTAACCCCTTGAGCTCCTATTGGGTGTGGCCCTAAAACTCAAAACCCCTAAACTTAACACTTGCTTAATTTGAATATTATTAGCTAGCACTTGGAGAACCAAGAAAGATAGGTGAACGGTGTACTGACCTTAAGACATTAACAGTATTTTAGGTTTGTTTCAAATGGTTAGTAAAGACTGTAGAAGACTACCTTGTATTTTGATGGACAGGTGGGAAGCACATATCAGCACAGAGTTGCTCGGGTGCTTGTGAGCTATTCCTGGCTTAGTGCTTCGGGGACCTGGTGTTGCCAGGGATCAGATCTGACCTCCCATATTCAAAGCAGGTGCTCAGTCAAGCTATCTCCAACTCTAATCTCATAGGGTGTCGTCGTGTTCCCCCCCCCCCCCCCCCCCCCACACACACACACAGCCTACTCATGGTCTCCATGGTTGACCCTGAAATTGATTTTACAATTCTGAGCCATGTTTTTTTTTCTGCAGTCATCTCTTATTTTTTGGGTCACACTCAGCAGCGCTTGGGACTTATTCCTGACTGCACTCGGGGATCACTCGAACTTTTAGGGTACTGGGGGTTGAACTCCGTTCAGCCTTGTGCAAGGCAAGTGCCCTACCCACTATGCTCTTTCCAACCTCATTAGTCACTTTTTTCTGTTACAGCTTTTAACATGGAAGGGGGCTAGCGAGGGTCCAAGTTTTTAGTAGCTTGTAGTTACAATTAATGAATTTTTTTTTTTTGTCTTGGTCTTGTAGGCCAGCACTTCTCAACGGGGCTATTTGGACCCCTAGGGTATTTCAGGGATAGTATAGGTGGAAAATAGGGGTGATGGAATAAGACTAGGGGCCGGATGGTGGAGACCACAGGAAACCACTAGGAGACCACAGGAAAGGTCAGAAAGGGATCAGGGATGGAAGAAGGTTGTAAAACGCTGTTGTAGATAGTATTTTCCAGATAGTGATTTTAATTGTCTTTTCAGTTAAGGGTACTGGACAGCAAGTTTGAGTTAAATCAACAGAATTAAGTATTCTTCCATTTTTGTCTGTTGACTTTTATCTTTTCAGAAATGTTTGTCCTTGGAATATAGAAGTTAAAATTCAGATGTTGAATGACACGAGTAATGCAGCAATGATACAAGTAATCTAGCCTTTAAAATGTACTCGGAATCAACAAATGTTTCTTAAGTCTCTCTCTTGTTTTGTTTTAGCAAAAAATGGGAAAGAAACAGAATGGAAAGAGTAAAAAAATTGAAGAGGCAGAGCCTGAAGAATTTGTGGTGGAAAAAGTACTGGACCGACGTGTAGTAAATGGGAAGGTGGAATATTTCCTGAAGTGGAAAGGATTTACAGAGTAAGAAACCTCAGTGCTTAAGTGATGAATAAAATTTGTTTATAGATAGAGACCTTTTGTCAGTTCCTCATAGGTCTCTTTAAATTCAAAGACACCTTTCTCAGGGTATCTTGTGTGAGGTTTGTCATTAAGGGGTCAAGTCTTCGAACTATGTAGTTGTGACCCAAAGATTTGAGACTAGTTGGTTTTACCGGGGAGAGTCAAATTTGTAAAAATGCAAAGTGCAGTTTGCTATTTAATGCAGATGTACTAATTAGAATTCCTGCTCTGTTGTTTCCCTTAATAGAGGATTGCCACAAGTAAAGTGTGTTTACAAATTCAGGTCCTATGTTCAGTTTCCTGTGAGTCGAGGCTGGGTGTTTTAATTTTCAGTTTGGTTTTGGGACTGAACCTGGTGGTATGTGGGGCGGGCGGGGGTGGGAGGGCTGCGTACCAGAGTCAGTTGCATGCAAGTCAAGTTCCCTAACCCTTATATTTGTTTCCTGACTCGTCCTCCTTGCTCTCATGATCACTCTTTAAGTCTTGTAAGTAACTCACATGTAGAAATGAGTTCCTGTATGATCTATTTGGAATCTTCTGTTTTAACACCAAAAACCAGCAAATCTTTTTTGACAGCAACTGTTAAAAATGGAGAGGAAGGGACTGGAGAAATAATGCGAAGGGTAGGGCATTTGCCTTGCATGCGGCTAGCCTGGGATTGATCTCTGGCACCACATATGGTCCCTGAGTCAGTCACACTGCCAGGTGTGATTCCTGAGCACAGAGCTAGGAATAAGCCACAAACTACGCTGAATGTGGCCCTAAAACCAAAGGAGGGACCTGGGTGGGCAGGGGTCTAGTGGATTATAATGGACAGTTATCATTTCTTCCACTGTCATTCACTGGCAGAATTTTAAGTTGAATTGAGAATTGTGTCCCTCTTTTTATTATTCTAGGACCCTTAATTGAGCTTAGGTATTCATAAGTTGTGTAGAGTGCTTGCCTTACATGCAGCCAACCCCAGTTCAATGCCCTGCATCTTATATGGTCCCCCCTGAGCCCCGCAAGGAGTGATTCCTGAGTCTTATTATTTATTATATTTATTAGTTATTCCAGGAATAACTCCAGTGGCAAAAAATGTCTGGATGAGAGAAAATTGTTCTTTCTAACCATTGTACAAAACACATGGAAATAGTCGCTGTATCCTTCCTTGTATCAAGAATTTGAAAATGGGGCCAGAGTAATAATGCAGTGGTGGTAGGGCCTTGCCTTCACATGACCAACCCAGGTTTAATCACCAACACCACATGATAATCCCCCAAAACCCATTAGGAATGATCTTTAAGCATGGAGCTGATGAATACCTGAATCTTGAGCACTACCAGGTGTGACCCTACCTCCTTCCAGGCCCCTTCCTCACCCCATCCTTACTCCATGGCCAGAAAAGAAAATTGGAAGACTTTCCCTAAAAAGCCTTTTTCCATAAAGATAGACCTGCCCTCCAGACTTTGTGGGCCATAGAATTTCACAGGTTCTCAATTCTGAATGTAGTATAAAAGCAGCAATAGATAATGTTAAATGAGCATGTATTCTAATGTAGCAGCATTTTGTGTATAAGAATGAAATTCAGAACTGAGAAATTTGTAAATTTACAAATTCACTGAAATTTTCAAATTTCCCTCAACTAAAATAATAAAGATTTAGATTCCCACCCAAATAAAAGTCTGTATTTGACTTTTATGTTAATAGACCCTGCTTCATCTCACTGTGAGCACTCAGAAGAAAGTAAAAATATGCTCTTGCATTTGAGAAACCGCTTCAGAATTGTATTTTAATACCATATGAAATGCCCTGGCCATGGGCATGATGCGGTTTGAGGTGGGAAATGTACCTTCCCCTCCTTCCCCCCCACGAAAATCTAAAGCGGGTTTGTTGGGGGTTTTTCACTTTTGTGTGTGTGGTTTTGCTTTTGTTTGTTTTGGTGTTTTTCTTTGTTTTGGGGGGTTTTATTTTTTATCCTCTTTCCCGTTAGAATTCAATTCAGTTAAATTTGAAAGTAATATGGCAGATTGCTTTTTTCTTGTAGAGACAATGAAAGCAGACAAAGGAAATAATAAGGTTCAAAAAAAGTGAGGATAGAGAAGAAATGCTAGCTGCAGTATAGAAGGCTTGCCTTTTCCTCCTTCCCCTCCCCATACCCTTCATATACATATTAAAATGGATTTGGATGACAGTGATTAACCATGTTTAACTGAATAAACTTTTTTTTAACTGAACACAGTGCTGACAATACTTGGGAACCTGAAGAAAATTTAGATTGTCCAGAGTTGATTGAAGCATTTCTTAATTCTCAAAAAGCTGGTAAAGAAAAAGATGGTACAAAAAGAAAATCTTTATCTGACAGTGAATCTGATGATAGCAAATCAAAGAAGAAAAGAGATGCTGTAAGTATAAAATATTGCCCACCAGACTGGCTTTTCGTAAAAGGTTGATGGCTCAAATTTTTTTTTTATCTTAATCTAGAAAAACTTCCACCCCCACCTCCCAGTTTAATAGCACAAAAAGGTTGGGCTTTGCCTAGCCTTCATTTTATAAATGTAGTTATCACTTCTATTTCTGGGCTAGAGCTCTTTGGACAGATTTAGAATTTTATCCCTCATCAGATAATTTCCTAGTTTTCAAAACTAGTTTTACATAGAAACATAATTTAGGTATTTGTTACTGGGGCGGGGGGAGGCAAGGCCACAACTGATGATTTGTTGCCAGAGGTGGTATGATTGGGGCGGGGGGGGGGGCGGGGGTGCAAATCAAGATCGTGTGCCCTTGGCCCTTATTTTGATCCAGTCTTTGCTTCACTGATGTTTCTATGGGTTTCTACCCTCAACTGAAAGACAAATTATAGTAGCCTTGCCTATTGGCCTAGCATGCCACTTGGGAACTAAACATAAAATATGATTTGTTGATTTGAAATTTGAACTAATATCAAGCACTTTGCTGGTAGCCAGTTAAGTCTTTGTGACACTTATTAATACTGGAAGTATTACCTCTAATTTTACACATGAGAAATGGGTTGACTGCAAATTTGACTTGGTTACTTTAACAGAAAAAACAAATGGTAGCAGTGTTAATCAGTATTTGAAAGTGAGCATACTTAAGCTCTTAATAATAGCAGTAGTTAACTTGATTGACTCTTCACAATATGCCAGTGTTCTAAACTTGCATTTTGTGGATTACAAAATACCTAGGAGACAGATGGTATAATTATTCCTAAATGAACTACTTCACAGAGAGAATGACCCAGCCCAAAGCCACACCGCTAATTAAATAGGAAAATCTGGTAGGGAGAAAGTATTCACTGACCCAAGCACAAGCTTCTTTGGTCTCAAAACCTCTTTTCACTCTAAGAAATTTTCAGGAGCCCAAAGAACTTAATGTTTATATAAAACGGACTGCCAAACTTAGCCTTATTAGAAAGAAAAATGGAAATGTCAAAACTAATGTATTTGGTTAAGGACTGGAGACCCACTTGTATGTGGGACCCCTGGGTGTGGCCCAAAAGTCAAAGAACAGAATTGAGTTGTAGAGATAGTTCAGAGGGCTGTGAGCGCATGCTTTGCATTTACAGGTTTGGTCCCTGGCACCACAAGGTCCCTGAGCACTGCTGGGTATGGCCCAAAGATTAAAAACTTATATGCAAATTTTCATGAAAATCAAGAGAGAATAGTGGCATTTTGCATTCTTTTTTTTCCCCAGTGTCCAGTTGTTATATACTGCATTTCATTTCCTGTGTTATGTTTGGTAATTATATGTAGGGTGATCCAAAACCACAAATAACCGAGGACAGGGGCCACTGAAAGGTCTGGGTCAGGCTCCCAGGGTGACTGTGGAGGGGACGGTTTGTTTGCTTTACAGTAGAATTTGAGGTTGGGAGGGCACTGAAATTTTCATTTCTGAAAAGTAGGCAGTGGGCTAAATAGGTTTAGAAATACTTGGTTAGAAGGTTCAGGGGTCCTTCACTGGTCCCTTGGCTTATAATTCAGGTTGATTATAATACCAGCTAGCTATTCTTTAAGGATCAGGATTCTGGGTTGTTTGTTTGTTTGTTTGTATACCTTTAAGTTTGACTATATGAAAGTTATTTTAACTAAATTCTTTTTTTTTTTTTTTTTGGTGGGGGGGTGGTCACACCCAGCGATGCACAGGGGTTACTCCTGGAGGTACTCGGGGGACCATATGGGATGCTGGGAATCGAACCTGGGTCAGCTGCGTGCAAGACAAATGCCCTACCTGCTGTGCTATCGTTCCAGCCCCTAAATTGTTTTTAATTAGGCAATAGAGCAATCAAAAATAAAAGTATTTGTTGTTCTGTACTCTGCGCAGTTCTTATATTTTGTTTTGTTTGCCTCCCAAGCAGTGCTCAGGAGGCCCAGGGATGCCAGAGCCTGAGAATGTGATACTGCTGAGACCATGTGGTGCCAGAGATACCCAGGCCACCATGGTTGCATCTGACAGTGCTCTGGTACCCTGTAGTGCCAGGAATCAGACCTAGACATGCACCCTAACCGCTGGACTGTCCAGCCCTACTCCCCTTGATTTTGGATCGAAAATGTGCCTTTTTGTCTTAAGATCCAGAATATTATTTTATATCTGCACCACATACCAGATACCTTTTTTTGTTTTCTGCTAGCCAAATTAATGACAACACAGTACCATTTTTTCATTTTGGTAGGTTTATAGGCTATACCTGGCAGGGTTTGGGACCTGCTCCATTCCTGTGCTCAGGAAAGCATGGTGTGCTCTGGGGGTCGGGCTCAGGTTGCCCTGCATGCAAGGCCAGGGCCTTGACTGTTGCACCATCCCCACCTTGTGACAAGTTTTCGTACTGAAGACTCTTGGCTTTAGTTAGATGTTTCCTTATAGCCAAGTCTTACAAGGTATATATCATGAGTACTAGAATGATATATATAGTACAGCAGGCAGGACACCTGCCTTGCGTGTGGCTAACTTGGGTTTTGATCCCTAGCACCACATATGGTCCCTCGAGCCTCACCAGGAGTGATCCTTGAGCTCAGAGTCAGAGGCAAGAGTGAGCAGTTCTGTTTTCCAGACCAGGAAAATCATGCTGGTGAGATTGCTCAGTGGACTGAGTGCATACTTCGCATACATGGGACCTGGATTCAGTGCTCAGTATCACATGTCATACACACACCCACTGGCACCACCTTGAGTGTCCTGAAAGACCCAAAGAACATGTCATGAAACAAATTAGAAGTTACTCTTATCTAATATTTTCTCCCATATTCCCTGGGGAAAATTCAGATATGTTTACGTAAACATTTAACCTCTTCTAAACAGGCTGACAAACCAAGAGGTTTTGCCAGAGGTCTGGATCCTGAACGAATAATTGGTGCCACAGACAGCAGTGGAGAATTGATGTTTCTCATGAAGTGGTAAGTGTGCAAGGGTTCATACTCTATTGTACTTCTTTTCATTTATGGGGCCATACCTGTTTGAGGGCTACCCATGGGTCTCAGCTCAGGGAGTACTATACACCTGGGAGTGTTCGGGATACCATGCTGTTCTGGGCTTGAACCCTGGCCTCCCATGTGCTTGTGTTTGAAAGAATAGGTAAGACTGAATTTTAATTTCTGAAGCCTTGCCTAAGATTTTCTAAATATATTATTTCATTTGGGGGTTAGAGAGGAAATAAGGTTTTGCAGAATTAGATAAGGACAAAATTATGAAGTGTTTTGGGGTGAGGGGGCATACCCAGTGGTGCTTGGGGGTTACTCCTGGCTCTGCTTTCGAAAATTAACTCCTACTGGTGCTTGGGGGACTGCGGTGGGATCGAACCAACTCTGCTACATGCAAGGCAGGCACCCTGTCCTTTGTATTATCTTTCCCACCCCCTGAATTTTTATTTCTTTGTTGGTTTTAGAGCCACACCAAGCAGGAGTTGGGAAGGGTGCTGGGCGTTGAACCTGGGCCACCTTAATGCAAAGCACATACCCAGCCTGATGAGCCATCTCTTGTACTGAACCAGGATTCTTTTTTGACTTTTTGATTGTTTTTGTTTTGGGGGCCACATGTAGCAGTGCCTAGGGTTTACCTCTGGCTCTGTACTCAGGAATTATTCCTGACCATACTCAGGGGACCTTATGAGATAGATGCCTGGGATCAAATGCAGGTAATCTGTGTGCAAGCAAACACCCTGCCTGTTACACTATCACTCCATCCCTCTTTTTAGGATTTTTAAAATAAATGATTAACAAGGGATAAAATTATATAAAAGACTTTTTTTTTTTAACTGAAATAAATACTTTTCCCCTCAAAACAGGAAAGATTCAGATGAGGCTGACTTGGTGCTGGCAAAAGAGGCAAATATGAAGTGTCCTCAAATTGTAATTGCTTTTTATGAAGAGAGACTAACTTGGCATTCTTGTCCAGAAGATGAAGCTCAATAATTGTACGCATTGCCTTTTATATATATTTATATATATACATATATATATATAAAATCTGGGTTTTGGTTTTGATTTACTAGTGTGAAGAAATAACTACGTTTTAATGAAAATCAAGTTTGATATGTTCATTTCAAGTAGTATGGGGGTGGGGGGGTTGTGTGTGTTGGGGAGGTTAGTGGGGTTGGTTTTTTGGGGTTTTTTGCATCTAATAGCACTGGTTACTTTGAACAAATAAAGCTTTCTATAGTTGCTTTTTTTTTTTATCAGAAAAGAACATTGATGCCATGGTATATTTTCTCTGCATTAGAGAACAGCTTTACTAATTATTGGAAGGAAATTATCATAATCATTCATTCTGAATTTATGTTTAATTCTCATATGCCTAAGGGCCATTCTGGATTTTTTGTTCATTTTGTTTTTTATTTTGTGTGTGTATGTGTGTATATATATGCGTAAAATACATACGTAAATGGTTTTTGTTCTTTTATAAACATTCACCAAACGTTACAACCTTTTATAACAATGAATAAACCCTGTTTCTGCCATTGTTTGGAACAGCCTAACTTTTCTCTAAAAACTTTACCCTTCCAAATACCTTGTTTTGTGATTGGATAATATAAAAGCACTATATCTAAAATTGATCATCTTGTTCTGCGGTCATGTAAATCTGAGTTTATTTGAAAATTCTCTAAAAGGAAAATTTTATCTCTACCCACACAAGCTAATTAAATCCCTGTTTCAATTAACCAAGCAAGACTTCATATACCGACACTTAATAATTTCTTTTATGGACCATTCCTTTACAAAAAGTTGAAATCTTGGAACTTCTAAAACTTTATTCCTGGAAACCTACCATTTTGCTACCGGTAATATAGGGCTTTCTGGAATAAATGGGTGAAAAAACTTGTCATCCAAAGTCTTACCTGTGGTTGTTCTTTGCCCTGACTTGTTCCTTACCTATAGGCTCAATCTTTTCAGTATTTGGTTCAGCAGAAGCCAGGAAAAAAGGATAACTTTATAGTAGTCAGAATGTTAACCAACTGTATATTGTTTACTTTATTGTAAATACTGGTGAACAGTGGTCAATAAATAGTTTTATATTCCTTTATGTGATTAGACTTTCATTTATTTGATTACCTTTGTAGTTGTAGTCAACACCCACACAGATTCATGGAAGTAATCTCCATGCTTATAAAACATATTACTAAATTAGATCTTTTGAGCTTGACGTTTCAAACTTACATTTCCTCAGAATTGTTTACTAGTAGAGTCCATGCGCAATTCAGTCAGCTTGATCAATGGCTGAACAAATAGCAGTTAATCCTACATTATTTATTTTTTTAAAAAGTTTACTTACAAGGAAACAAAAATTAGTTTCATGCAATGTCAGTGAGGAATTTGCTTTAAAAAAGGTGAAATTAGGGGACTGGAGCAATAGTACAGTGGATAGGGTGTTTGTCTTGCACCACCTGAGTGCAGAGCCAGGAGTGAGCCCTTAGTACTGCCAGTTATGACCAAAAATCCCCCCAACTCCCCAAAAATGAAATTTTATATAGATTTTTCCTGATACCCAAAAGTACAAAAGCAGTTACCATTTGTTTATGAGTAAAATGTTTTGAATGTTCCAAAATCCCAAAAATAATGACCAGATCATGGCAAATACACATCAAACCCAAAATAAAACCTGCAGCAAAGTAAAAACAAGGTGTAAATACAATGCGTATACGAAGTAGGAGTGTATACTTAAAGTGCAACCAGGATGACAACACATTGGAAGGGTGATGGTGATGATACTGTGTTGTGCCAGGTGTTTGGAATGGTTTGGAGACTGGGGTGTAAGAAAAAAGGGGATCATTATATTTTTGGAGAGATACCACCCACACCTGGAAATGCTGAGGAGCTAAACCCACGTGGAAAACATGATGCTCCAGCCCTTCCGGCTCTTTCCCTGGCCCTTTTAACATCTTGAATTTGAGAAGAGCCAGGAGGCCGCAAACCTCACCTCTGGTTTTCATGTCAAAGGTCAAGATACATCAGTTTATGTGGAGAATTAATATGCTTGACTTCTTGGGTTGGTTTGTTTGGGGTTAGGGGTCACTAGGGGATGTTGAGAAGACCACATAGTGCTAGAAGTTGAATCAAGGGCTTCTGCATACAAGGCATCACTAGAATCCTGAGTCATCTCCCTGGCTCGCGCATATGCTTGACTTGCCCTCCCATTTTTCTGTCACAAGAATCTTTGCAGATATTCAGAACATTGACCAAACCTGACTTAGGCAACACTCTAAATGAAATAGAGACCCCAGCCAGTTCACATTAAATCAAGATATTTGCATCTCGTTTTAGGCTACACATAACTGGCACCTTAAAATTCATCTTATTAACAGATACACAAATCGAGATGAGACATTGATGTTCACAGAATTTAAACTTTTGGTGATAGAGATAGCTCAAAGGGTTGAATTCAAACCTTGCGTGCAAAAAGCCTGGTTCAGTTCCAGGCTCTGAGCACCACCAGGTGTGTTCCAAAGACCAAAGGAAAGAAACTTTGCTGACTTGGTAAGTGTGTTTCCAGGGATGCCTCATTTGGGACATTGAACGCTTTTTTTTTTTTTTTTTTTTTTGCCTTTTGAAAAGACAGCATAATATAGAAAGAGGCAGAAGATAACATGTATGTAGGTACTGATACAACTGAATTTGGGGGTTTCTTGATACATACAAAACTTACATTTATTCTGTAGTTTTATTTCTTTTTCGGGGGGCTGGGAGGTGGGCCACACCCATTAGTACTCAGGGCTTATTCCTGGCTCTATGCTTCTAATAGAACTCAGTGTCATATGCGGTGCTAGAGATCAAACCAGGATTGGCTTCAACCGCTGTAATTTCTTTCCGGTCCCAATACCGTAGTTTATTTGGGCACCACACTCCACAGTGTTCGGGAGCAACTCCTGTTACTTCACCCGGGATGGGGGGAGGGGGGGACATGTCACTTATGACTGAACTCGGGTTGCTGTGGCACTGGGTATTAAACCCAGGCTTACAGTATGCACTCTTTGGGCCCAGGCGATAGTATAGTGGGTAGGGCATTTGCCAAGGCTAACCTGGGTTTGATCCCCGGGACCCCAGATTCTATCCCCAGCACCACCATGGTCCAAGAATGTCAGGAGTGATCCCTGAGCACAGAGCCAGTTACAAGCTCTGAGTATTACAGGCTGTGGCCCCAAAACAACCACCAACAAAAGTATGCACTCTAGCTCTGAGTATTTCCCTGATCCAGTATAGTTTATTAAGTGAGAATAGCATGTTCTAAATACATTTGGGGAAGGATGATTTGAGCCATACTTAGCAGTTCTTAGGTAATTACTAGTTTAGTGCTCTGGGAAATCACGCAGTGTTAGGGATGTCTCCTGCATGCAGAGCATGCATTCTAGTCCTTTTTGTTATCTCCCTAATCCCAAAATAAGTATTTTAAGAGAATCCTGCTGATAGACAAATTCTACTGATTTTAAAAATCCATATAGAGAATATACACACATACATTATACAAGGGCCGGAGCAATAGCACAGCGGGTAGGGCATTTGCCTTGCACGTGGCCGACCCGGGTTTGATTCCTCCATCCCTCTCAGAGCCCGGCAAGCTACCGAGAGTATCCCACAAGGCAGAGCCTGGCAAGTTCCCCGTGGTGTATTCGATATGCCAAAAATGGTAACAAGTCTCACAATGGAGACGTTACTGGTGCCCACTCCAGCAAATCGGTGAACAACGGGACAACAGTGCTACATTATACGACTATATTGATTATACCTGGCAAAACAATGTTTGGGCCAACCGCAGAACCACATATATGCAACAGTGGTCTCCAAATTGTTAACAGTGATTATAAGTTCATGGAATTTTATATTGATAGCCTCTTCTCAAACTTAACATTTTTGTTATGTTTCATCTAATCTTGTGTTTTGTTCATCATGGCCCATATGCATACAATATCTGCTGTTAACTTTCACAATATGATTAACAATACAAAATGATCTATTGATGGATTTCTCAGAATGTGTATTTAACAGTACAAGGGGCTGGAGAAATAGCACAGTGGGTAGGGCGTTTGCCTTGCACACGGCCAACCTGGGTTCGATTCCCAGCATCCCATATGGTCCTCTGAGTACCGCCAGGAGTAATTCCTGAGTGCAGAGCCAGGAGTAACCCCTGTGCATTGCCAGGTGTGACCTAAAAAGCCAAAAAAAAAAAAAAAATGCATGACTGTAGTTCTTGTAAGCCAAGTTCTGCTCGCTGTGGCTTGGTTCATATCAGAAGTGGATGGCGTGGGTCAGAGACATGACTCAAAGGGCTGGAGTGCATATTTTGCAAACAGGAGGCTTTCGCGCGAGAGTTTGTACCACATGAGCCCCTAAGTACTGCTCTGAGTAACACCCAAGTGCTTAACTGAGTACTTTATTTTTTTTTCTGATTATTTTAATTTTTTTTTTATTAGTGAAACACCATGAGGTACAGTTATAGACTTACAAATTTTTGTGCTTGGGTTTCAGTTATACAATGATCAAGTACTCATCCCTCCACCAGCGCCCATCCCCCACCACCACGGGTCCCAGCATCCCTCCCACCCCCCATCTCCCCATCCCACCCTGCCTCTGTGGCAGGGCATTCCCTTTTGTTCTCTCTCTCTCCTTTAACTGAGTACTTTTAGATGTCCACTCAAAAAAGAAAACAGAAGTGGATGACCTATATTTTAGTTCAGGGCCTGAGAGGTAACTCTAAGAGCTGAGTGCTTACTTTGCACGTTGAAGACCAAGTTCAATACCCAGCACCCACATGGTCCCCCAAGCACCTCCAAATTACTCCAAAACAAAAAATAATCAACTTTAGTGTAGAAAGAGCATTTCTAGAAATGTGTTGACTGTGTTGTATCTTACTGTGTTAGTTTCTTGGTGATGCTATTTAAAAAAAAATGACGGGACTGGAGCGATAGCACAGCGGATAGAGCGTTTGCCTTGCACGCAGCCAAGATGGCTGATACAGGTTCAATTCCCAGCATCCCATATGGTCCCCTGAGCACCGCCAGGAGTGATTCCTGAGTGCATGAGCCAGGAGTAACCCCTGAGCATCGCCGGGTGTGACCCAAAAAGCAAAAAAAAAAAAAAAAAGACAAGTTTAATGTCTTAAATATTTTAACAGCTCTAGAAATCAGAAGCCTTGGCCAAAGTCAAACTATAGCAGGAATGGTGCAGGAATGGTTCTTTCTGAAAACTGATGGTGGAATCCATTTTCTTTATTTTGTTTTTAATTTTGGAGACAGTCTATATTCCTTGGCTCCTGGCTCCTTACATCTAGTTTCTCCATCAATGATTTACTTGCCCCTCTCTCTGCCTCAGTTTTCTCATCTGTTAAATAGAGATAAGTCATAGGTTTCTGTAAAAATGAAACACCTATAGACACCTAACAATACTACATATTTAGTAGTTGACCTTGCTGTATATAGGCTTATTTTTTAATATTTAAAAATTTTTAAGTAGCATATTTGCCTTATATTTAGTAGTTGACTTGATACATACGTTTAGTTTAAATAGCGACATAATAAGCTGTTGCATGGAAATTCCCAAATCAACCAATTCCAGGGCATGGGGTATGAATACTTAGGTTGATTGGAATATTTGGTTATTAGATTAACATAGACAATCTTATATTAACGTATAGTGGAAAAATAGAGAGGGGTTCCAGAAGCTAGTGAGATCAGGCTTGTACTGATTTACTCTCCATCTTAGCCACTTGTTACCCCATATTCTCACCTGTACTGTAAATTAACAGTGGTTTGGGAACTGTTTGGGAGATAGTATAAAAGGTAAGGTGCTGGGGCTGGAGCGATAGCACAGCGGGTAGGGTGTTTGCCTTGCACGCGGCCGACCCGGGTTCAATTCCCCGCATCCCATATGGTCCCCCGAGCACCGCCAAGAGTGATTCCTGAGTGCATGAGCCAGGAGTAACCCCTGCGCATCGCTGAGTGTGACCCAAAAAAAAAAAAAAACAAAGAGGTAGGTGCTGGTCTTGCATGTGACCAACTCTAGTTCCATCCCCAGAAATGTATTTGGTCCCCTCCACCCTTCGGCCCCAAACTAATAATAATAAATTTATTTTTAGTCATTCCAGTGGCAGTTTGTTTTAATTTACATGGGTCATTTTCATCAGGATTAATTTTATACTAAATATAATTTGCATTCCTCTATAAATTGCCAATTTTACAAAATCTTGTAATTGGAAGACTTCCTTTTATAGTGATACAATTAATACTCTGAGGTTTTTGTTTTGCAAATATTTCTCCATGTTTGTATTTTGACATGATTTATGATATCTTTTGTTTCAAATGTTTTATTTTTATGTGGTCAACTTGTTAGTCTTTGTCTTCTGTATTTCCTGTCTTGTTATAAAAATACATCTTTCATCCTAAAGTTGAAGTGATAGGAATTATCTTAAATAAATTTGCTCTAATTTTCATTGAGTCATTTTTATTGTCAGGTCTTCAATACTAGATTTTATTAGATGTTATGATGGTTTCTTGATTTGTGTTTGCCACTACAAAGAAAGTTCTTAAACAGATAAATCTAAGGTTTTTCTTTTTCAGAAAGGGCCTGGAATCTGTTCAAACACCTGGACAAATTGGTTTGGCAAGATCCCTGAATTTAATACCAGTTAGAAGAGGACACTTTGACCTGGAGTTTATTATCAATAAGCTACTTTTCAAATCTCTGAAATTTTATTAGTATCATCCTCAGTGTGCTTTTCCCTACTCCCTGTGCTTTCCTTTTGGTCATTGAAAACAATACCCCTGTTTATAAGCCAGACCCCTGGCTCTTAAGTCTGTCGGGAGCTGACACTGCACAGAATGTTTGTGTAGTCAGAACTATGGACTGGAGTGGGAATGATTTATTAGCAAGAAAGCAGAAGGTGTTCAAGGTAACCAAGATCTTTTCAGACATTGTTTTTCCAAACTTTTCAGTATGTGAGTCTCACCCAGTCAATGAAGACATCTACTAGGAAGGAAGGGGGAAATCTATATATTAAAAAGGAAACTATGAGAAAATCCTCTAAGTTTGACTGTGATTGATTGTTGTTATATCTTACTTTTCTGTTTCCGTCACACAAAGAACATCTCAGGTTTGTTTTGCCCCTCTGAAAGGCCCATCCTTCAGACTCTTAGCTGGGCTTTTAAGTATTGGTACATTTTCTTAGAAGGCTAGTGAAGACAGTGTTTTCATTTTACTTTCAAGTTTCTTTGTGCTTTAACAAAGTTGAATGGCTGTCATATATTTGATCCTTATAAACTGCATCATCTTTATGTTTTGTTAAATCAATACAAAATTGGATAGCAAACAAAATATAAGTTCTTAATAAGTGGAATATGAATAGTATGCATAATTGTAACTATGGTATATAGACTCTTGTTGAATAAATGTTGCTTCTTGGAATATTCACTGAAGAGGGGGATCAGTCTCAACATCTTCAAGTTCTAGTAGTTGCTTTGGTATAATAGAAGTTCTAGATGCTCATCTCTTTTTGACACCTTTTTTATAGCCTGATTCCTTTTCTGAACACAGTGTCTGTGAATGTGCTGCACTTTACAGCTACCTGACAATCATCCACATTTCTGCTAATAGAAAACGGTTAAGGAGGGTGGGCCTAGGGTGGTTGGGCTTTTTTGTGGGGGTTTGTCTGTATCGTCAAAGAATTTATATTATGTTGGAAGATTTCTACAGGCAATCAGGTCATCTGGAGAAATACAAAAATTTGAAATTGCTTTCATATGGAGTCTTTATTTTCTGTTACAGACCTTTTGCTATACAAACAAATATATAAATATATTTTCATACATATATCTATAAGCAAATATATAAAATCTCCATAAGCATACATAGAACTGTCTGGTACCTAAAGGAAGTAATTGAATACTGTGCTAAATTTACATTGTATCTCATGCAATCCTCAAGATAACCCTCTAGGGTAGATATGATTGATTCCAGATTAACCCTGTCTAAAGGTAAGAAAAGTTGGGCCCAGAAGTTAAAGGGGACTGGAGAGATAGTGAAGGGGTTAAGGCTTGCGCCTTGCATTCAGCAAGTCCTATCCCTCCCACTCCCCCAGCCCTGCCAGTAAGCCCAGCACAATGGGACACAAGCAGCACACATCCTTGGACCCTCGAATTAACCGCCAGCCTGACCAACAGTTGCCAGAAAGGCTGCGGAACATCCTGAACACAACTTGGGAAACCACCCCTGGGACAAAAGTTAGGCCAGTGCCTGAGAGAGTAGAGGTTACAACACTTCCTTACATGCAGCTGTGTCAGAATAATGGCTCAAATCCTGGCACCACACATGGTTCCCCAGCACTGCCAGAAATAGCTCCTGGGCACCAGAGCTAGGTGTGACCCCTGAGCACTGCTGGATGTGGCCCAATGCCCATACCGCCACAACCCCTAAAAAAGCAAGTTAAAGTTGGTACTTATGAACTAGGACATTAACTGTGGGACTAAAGAGAAAGGCTGGTTTGAAGATAGAGCCGGGATGTGTGTGTATTAGGCATATTAGGCGGGGGGGGGGGGGGGGGGGGAGGGGGGGGAGGGGTTCTTTTATTTTATTAGGCTTGAGAGCCACACACCGAGTAGTCCTCAGGACCCACTCAACTGTGTGCTGTGACTGTGACTGGGTCACTCCCAGGGATGCCAGGACTCAAACCGGGTTTCCAGTATGCGAAGTATGTACTCGGCTCATGGAGCGCTCTCTTCGTCCCTGAACATAGGGTTTTGTCCACAGTAACTACCCAGGATGTGTTTGTAGAATCAAGTGGTTTCAGATATGAAAGAGATGTGGAAATAAGGGAGAGAGATACAACAACTTGGGTTGGGAATGTGGCTCCATGATGGTTTTGCAGAAGTGAATCCCCGCACAGCTGGTACCCCCAAGTACAGGAGTCACCCCAGAACTGAAATGTAAGAAAAATTATTTGTTTAACTTGGGTTGATATAAAAGAAATGCCATTTGGTGAGAAAGGGAACCTAAGGAGAGTTAAGTTTTAGCTGAAAAATAATTCAGAGGCTTTGGGCATCTTTATTGAGATATCCCATTTGTTCCTTTTGTGTTGTTGTTATGCCTACAATACATGGTGGCATAGAGTGGCTGCAAGCAGCAGATAGTGAATGCAAACTTGCTCTGAGATGGGAAATTGCTCTCTGACCTAATACCTCACTAATAGCTCAGAGTACTGACTTTGGACTTTGACCCCCTGGGTTTGAAATTCAACTCAGGGATTCTAGTTTCTTAGTCTCCCTAATTATTTGCATCTCTAGAACTGTGAGGATGAGAGTGAAGATTAAATTCTCAGGTTAAGTGAGAAACACGAACACCTAGAACTAAGAGAGACCAGATGAACTCTACTACTGGTCTCCACAATCCGTCTCAATGATTAACCTGGACAGACGAGTGCGGCTCCAGGCATACCATTTCCAGGCACTCATCTCTGGAACCGGTGTCTACAGAACACACACAGAGGGGCCGGAGTATACCAGGTAGGGTGTTCGCTTTGCATGCTGCTGACCCTATTCAATCCCGTCATCTCTATGGTCCTTCGAGCACCGCTAGAAGTGTTCCTTGAGGGGCTGGAGCGATAGCACAGAGGGTAGGACGTTTGCTTTGCACGTGGCCAACCCAGGTTCGATTCCCAGCATCCCATATGGTTCCCTGAGCACCACCAGGAGTAATTCCTGAGTGCAGAGCCAAGAGTAACCCCTGTGCATTGCCAGGTGTAACCCAAAAAGAAAAAAAAGAAGTGTTCCTTGAGTGCAGATCCAGGAGTGAGCCCTGAGCACTGCCGGGATGGCCCCCCCAAAACAAAGCAAAGATAGAGTGCTGTCAGTTTCCACATCTCCCAAGTTAGCCTCCAAAGAGTGCTTCCTGGGTCAGGGCTAAGGCTCAAGTGGCAGAGCACATGGCCAGCCTGCTCATGGCCTCAAGCTGCATCTCCAGGCCCACAGGATCCCTGTCCTCGTCCAGCACCTTCCCCTATGTCCCTGATGAGCTCCGAGCACCATGTTGCCAGCTCAAATGCTGTCCCAAAAGCCACCTCCCAACCTCCCCCCGCAGCTGTTTCCTAATTTCAGAAGACAAAATCTTACCAAACTTTATATCATTGTTTGTTTGTTTGTTGGGGGTCACACCTGTCTTTGATCAGGGCTTACCCCTGGTTCCTAGAATCACTCCTAAGTGGTGGTGCCAGGGATCGGAACCTGCAAAGCTAGGCCAGGCAAACACCCTACCCACTGTACTATCTCTCCGGCGCCCCTAACAAACTCTTCTTTTGAAATGAAGATTGAAATCAGTCCTTTTCCTTACATGGAAGTATTGGAGGGGAAACTGTCTTGGTCTCAAGAACAAGACCAAAATCTATCTGAAAGCTCTATTTTTTCTTGTGATCACAACCATCCTGTTATTCGTCGATTGCCTCGAGCAGGCCCCAGTAACGTCTCCTTTGTCCTAGCCCTGAGATTTTTAAAAAGTGCCATATTCAAGGCTCTTTCAAGTTAGGAGAATGAGACCCATCATTATTTCTGGTATTTGGCATATTGGGTACGCCACGGGGAGTTTGCCAGACTCTGCCGTGTGGGCAGGTTACATTCAGTAGCCTGCCAGTTTGTCCAAAGTAGAAATGAGATAATAAGATGTCGCGCTTCCGGGAGCTGGGTTTTATAGTCTCTGGGTCTTGGCCATTGATGGGATTACACGGTGCCAGGGGGCCAGTTGGTGGGTGTGACCCCTGCCTACTGGAATTTGGAGGATCTGGATGGAGGATGCTCAGCCCCAATGCAAGCAGGTTTGGAGATCTCAGCCCCGGGACCCACATGCCTTTGTTCCTCTGCTGGTACCTTCATGCATGTAGAGAGTGGTCTCAGCATGGTGGTGGCTGGTTCTGGAGGTCTTCGGCAATTTTTTCTTGCAATTAATCAAAAATTCAACTCCACAAATTAGACATTTCTAGTTTAAGTTATATTCATTTCATGTATGTGTACACCTCATAAAATCCCAAATAATAACTCTAATAGTACATTTGTAACACACAGGGTTACTGTATCATAGGAAGCTGATTATTTATTGACTCCATCTCAATAATTCATAGACCTTATCCTTTTACACAAGGAAGCCATTGTTCAGGAAGAGCCACCATTTTGTAACATAAGATGATGCTCAAAAAGTGAAAAAGTTGGGCTGAAGAGGTAGTACAGTGGGTAGAGCGCTTCCCTAGTCTAGCTGGGTTCAATCTCTGGCACATGCCTGCCAGGAGTGATCTCTGAATGCAGAGGCAGGAATAAACGGGCAGCAGTGCTGAGTGCAGCTCAAAAGCAAACAAATCCTGAACGCAGGAAGATTTTGGAAGCTAAAGAGCATTACCCAGATGGAGGGTACTATTCTAAGCACTGGGAGCCCAGCCAGGTCATGGGTTTCAACCCTTTTAGAGATCCGAAACACATATGATTTAGTGACAGAGCTAAGAAGAGAATTGAGGCAGGTTTTGTCCGGATTTGACCACACAACTAGTCTTCTCAGAACCAGGAAATTTTTAAAAGAAGAATGTGAGCATAAAGGACTCTTTGGAAACCATTGTCAAATTTTCTTTCACTAACTTTAATTTTTTTAAATAACTGCTTTGTCTCAGAGACTACATAATTACTTTATATTATCTTGTCATCGCACACTTCTAAGCCAACTTGGTGTCATCTATATCCATGACAACAGCTTCCTAGGCCTTCTTCTGCCTTCACCATGGGAACATGGAGAAACACGAGCATAACTGAGAGACAAATGCCCAGAAAAGTGAATCTAATACAAAATTTAGAAACATACTCTTGGCAAAGTCGATAGCCATTAGTATAAACAACTTAATAGAGTAGAAACAGTGTATAGTATGTTATTAAAGGTAAAACAGGAAAAATTGTGCAGAAAAACCTTTCAGCAACCACATTTTTCAATTTCAAAAGTAATTCTTAAGCATTCTAGAGATGAAAAATGCAGAAAATAGTTTTATTTTAAAACTTTTGATTCAGGGACCAGAGCAGTTAGGGCACTTTTCTTGGCTAGGCTGACCTGGGCTTGAACCCCAGCATCGGATATGGTCTCCAAAGCATTGCCAGGAGTAATTCTTGAGCTCAGAGCAAGGAGTAACCCCTGAGCATCACTGGGTGTGGGCCCCCCAAAAATTTAAAAAAAATGATTTGTGGTTCATAAATCATTTGGAAAGTTCTCCCCCATCTCATCCAAAAGTAATTTTCCAAATATCTGCAGAATTTTCATCTGAACTGTCTGATCTCAGAGTGGGGTTCAGTCTGGATGAGTACTGGGGTCTCACTGAGACACAGGTGACATCCAGGGCAGAAGCTATTCTTGGGACACAAATTTTGTTTTATTTTAGGCAGTATGATTTACATCACTGTTTTTTTGGGGGGGAGGAGGTTGCTTTTGCTTTTTGCTTTTTTGGGTCACATCCAGCAATGCTCAGAAGTTATTCCTGGCTCTGCACTCAGGAACTACTCCTGGTGGTGCTAGGGGGACCATATGGGATGCTAGGGATCGAACCCAAGGTGGATGCATGCAAGGCAAATGTCCTACCCACTGTGCTATTGCTCCAGCCCCTACAACACTGTTAACGATAGAGTTTCATGCATACAATGTTCCATGTGAGGGTCCCCTTTTCCTCAACCCCACCCTTTAACCACTCCCCCATCGCACCCCTGAACCACGGTAAGGCCAATTCTGTGA